GCGCCCAGGAGATGCCTCCTTGGGCCCGGGCACTGGACGCCTCGCCTCACCTTGCCTTGCCTTCCAGGCAGTGCCCCGGGCCGGCTTGGCGGGGCCGCTGAAGGATGCCGACCTGCGAGCGGCCGTGGAGGCCCTGCGGCAGCACGACCTGCACCCCGTGCTGGAGGAGTGGTTCCTGGAGGTCCTGCAGACCGACCTGCAGAGGAGCATCGCCCCCGAGCTCTGGACCTGCATCGCGCAGCATGAGCAGGCGGCGGAGGAGCCACAGTGCTCGCGCCTGCTCCTGGGCGCCTTCTGCCAGCTGAAGAGCCGCCTGGACCCTTATCTGCACAGCCTGGACCTCATGGAGGCGTGGACCAGGGACGGGCTGCTCCTGGGAACGGGCTCCCAGGGGCTGCGTGAGAAGGTCTGCACCATGCTGCGGGCCATCCTCTTCTTTTCCACCACGAAGGCCTTCCAGGAGATGATCCAGCGGTTCTACAGCCGCAGCTTCAAAATCTACATGCGGCAGTGGGAGCGAGGCGAGGACCGGGCGGGCGAGGGGGGCAGCGGCAGGAATGGCCATGAGCACGAGCAGGAGAGCGAGGCGGAGGAAGGGGAGCTTGCGGGAGGGGGCCAGCTGTGCACTGGCTGCGGTTGCCCCAAGGACCGGTGCTGGTGCCCCACAGCCATGCAGCAGTTCCAGCAGCTCAGCGAGATCCTGTACGTACCTTCCGCAACCAGAAGACTCTCTTCGTACCTTTTCCCCCATGTGGTGTGAAAGATGGTGTCGTGCTTGTGGGAAGTCCTGCATTCAGGCCAACTCAGCAGCCTCCCCCAGGCTAGTGCCCCCCAGATGGGCTACTCTGCTGCTCTGCATCCCACAGAATACCCCGGCCAGTGCTGGGAGCTGTCTCGACCCGTGTGAAGGGCACCGGGCTGGCCAAACACACGAGGCAGCTGCTAGCCTGTTTTATCTGCCCTTCTCTATTGGTCATCTTGCTTATCCTCGAGATTCTTTCTTTACTGGGTGGGTTCAGGAGGCACAGCAAGCTAGGCTGCTTAGAAAGCGGCACAGGGGGACTTACTTGCCCTGGGGCTCATGGTAGCCCTGACAGATGATCATGATGCCATGGCTCCACAGCCACCTCCCCTCCCTCTTCGGTTTTCTGCAGGTGTCCACAGGACACTCTGCTGCTCTGAGAGGCGACGAGGGAGAGGGCCCCCCCGGGGTGGCGGTGCTGGAGGGGCAAGAGTTGTAGGCAGAGAGAGACTGAAGGGCAAGGGCTGAGTGGAGGAGAGCAGAGCACCAGGGCGAGGAGTGCTCTGAAGTTAAGAGGCCGGAAGCGGCTTCCACTTCGTATTTCCACTAGTAACAAGGGAGCTGGCAAGTTTCAGCTTGAGTTGTAGCTGTTATCAGAGCAAAACACAAGTGGCCCTGGAACATCACCACTGTGGCATTCATATACATGCCACCGTCTGTCACATCCGAAGTTCATGAATGCCATCCTGAGCAGCTGGAGAACGAGGGGAGCTGCCAGAATGCAGCAGCAGCAGTTGATGAAACAGACTATTTCAAAACACACAAACCTCATTTCACACAGTTGGGAAAGGAGGTCCTTCGGGTACTTGCTTGTCTTGAGCAGCCAGGTGTTTAGGGTGCTTAATCTATGTGGAGAGGATCTGGGGTTATTTCCCCTTCTGAGCTGCCCCATTGTGACTTCTGAGCAAAGACTTCTGTCCCTTCAGACACAGGCTGAACCTGCTTGAGCGGGTAAGTGCGGATGCCGTCACCAATATCCTGCACAAGATGATCGAGGAGCGGATGGAGTGGAGGTGCCGAGGGGAGTATGAGCGCTCCTTCCTGACGGAGTTCCAGGAGGTAAGTGGGGAGGCCTTGGCCGAGAAGGGCGTCTTTTTCCCTGGCCGCATGTGCCGAGCCGGCTCCACACGGTGGGGCATTTCTCGAAACTGGCCTGGTCAAACTGTGGCTTCCATGACATCCTTCAGGGGACCCATAGAGCAGGACCCCGTATCCACCAGCCCAGTTGCCATGGTCTCACTTAAACGCTGTTGGCTTTGGCCTGAAAGAGAGGCTGTAAAGTGCTTCCTTTACAGGCAAATTCTCAATTTAATAGGGAAGGAAAAAAAGCCATGCGCTGAGGTTGCTTGGAAGTATGGTGAGAATGAATCTTTTCTCCGTGAAATTCCACACACTGTATAGTGTTCGCTTTTATCCATAGTTTCAGGCCTTGAACCTCTCCCGGCAGATATGGGGGTCCAGCAGTATTCCACTTCAGCTGGGTTGTGGTGGAGCCCAAGCATTGCTGACAGGTCTGGGGCTGATTGTGGGTCGCAAGGGGTGGTCTCCTTGGAGCCTTCCAGGGCCTCCCATTATAGGGCCAAATCTGGGGATGGGACCGGGGCCTTCTCTGGAAAGCGTTTGTGAAGCCGGAAGGAGCTGCTCCGGGTTCCTTTCGGGCTACCTTTTTGCCTCCAACGCGGGTGGGGAGAGGTGAGGATGGCTAGGACGGCCGTTGTGCATGCTGGAGGCCCCGCAGCCCCTGATGGCATCTTGGCTGTCTCTCCGCTTGTCCTGCAGTGGATTGAAAAAGTGATCGGCTGGCTCAGCCAGGTGTTCCTGCAGGATGGGGCCTGTGCGCAGCCTTCCGCTGAGGCAGGCAGCACGCTGAAGCGGTGGCGCTGCCACGTCCAGGGGTTCTTCTACCGCCTGTACGCCAGTATGCGCATCGAGGAGCTCTTCAGCATCATCCGAGGTGAGCGGCGGGAGTCGGGCCGGCTTTGCCCTTTCTAGGACCGATGCTTGTCATTCAAGCATTACAGCAAAACCAAACATCAGCTGAGAATGCAAAACAAGGGGCGCCACACGCCCATCTACAGAACAGAAGGGGGCAAGCAGAGCAGCCGCACAGCAGCAGCCTCTGGGCACACAGGAGCAGGAACGGGGCTGGGAAGCATCACTCCGCACTGTGCCTTTCTCCGCCCGCAGTGCTCTGGCCGGCTGGCTCATGCCGTCCTCTGCCTCTTGGCCTGCAGATTTCCCAGAGTCCAAGCCAGCCGTGGATGACCTGAAGTACTGCCTGGAAAGGACTAATCAGCGGCAGGAGCTTTTGGGTTCCCTGAAAAGCGCCCTGGAAATGCGGCTTCTGCATCCCGGTAAGTGTTTCGGCCCAGCCCATCTCCAGGCAGCACAGCGTGTGCACGACGGATGGCCCAGCCTGCTAGGAACGTGCCCGAAGAGCTCACAGACTCCACATTGAGTGCCACAGAGAAGATCCCACTTGAACAGAGAATTCAGACAGCACGTCCTGCGCAGGGACCCCGGGAATTCTGGGAATGCTGTCCCAGCCCTTCCATTGGCTCAGCTCTCGCTCCTACCACCTGGGGGCTTTGCAGGCGGGAAGCTGGAAGCTTCTGTGTCATCTCTGCTCCCCCCTGCTTTAGGGGTAAGCACCTCAGACATCATCACGTTCTACATCTTCGCCATCAAGGCCCTGAGGGAACTGGACCCTTCCATGGTCATCCTGGAGGTAGCCTGCGAACCCATCAGGAGGTACTTGAGGTAAGAGGCCGGCAGGTGGGCTGGCCCCCGAGGAGCCTGGGCACGCAGTGCGGGGCGCCTTCTCGGAACGCAGAGCCTTCACCGCTCCCTGCAGGGGAGCGGCGGGTGGCCGGGCAAGCGCAGAGCACTTAGCGGTGCTGGTTTCGGCCCGTCATCGGGTGACAAGCCCCCGTCCCCTTCTGACAGAACCAGGGACGATACGGTGCGGCAGATTGTGGCTGGCCTGACTGGCGACGCTGAAGGGTGTGCAGACCTGGCCAGTGAGCTCTCCAAAGCGGATCCCGTGACGCTGGAGAACGGCCAGGAAAGTGACGACGACGGCTTCGAGCCAGAGGACTGGGTGCCCGATCCAGTGGATGCTGACCCGGGTGAGCCGGGCTGCAAAGGGCGCCCCTGAGTGGGAATCGTCCCCAGGGCTGCTGTGCACAGGGAAGGTCCCGAGGCCAGTCCCGGGCAGCACCTTGGAGAGGCCTCCATTGCCGGCTTGGCACAGCCGCTGCCGCCAGCATAATGCGAGACCGTGCTCGGCCTGACGGAGGAACCGTTGGGCCCTGACTGTGCCTCAGTCCCAAGCGATGGCTCCAGCCCCTCGGTGGCCCTTGGGCGCCCTCTTGTTGCCAGGCAGCTGCTCCTCCTGGTTCCTCACTGCCTGCCTCTCCCCTCAGGAAAGTCCAATTCCAAGCGACGCTCATCGGACATCATCAGCCTGCTGGTGAGCATCTATGGCAGCAAAGACCTGTTCATCAACGAGTACCGCACGCTTCTGGCTGACCGGCTGCTGCACCAGTTCAACTACAGCGCAGAGAGGTGAGGGGGCCGCTCTCTTCTCTTGGCCTGCTGTGCCACGTTCCTTGGTCTTCCCCCTGGCCTGCCCTGTAACCGAAGGCGGTGTGGCAGGAACGGCACCTTTTCGGACAGCCGGCGGCACCCAACTCGAAAAAAACACGGGGCGCACTGGGGCCTGGGCTTGGCGAGGGGGAAGTTGTAGCTCTCGCCTTTGGCCCTGCTCCGCAGCTGCCCAGGACACAGCTCAGGCGTACTGGTCCCAGGCTGCCTTTTTGCAAAGGTGGTGGCAGGTCTAGCCCCCACCGCTGCCTCCTTTCCTTGCACAAAACACACTCAGGCCTCAGCCTCTCCTTCCTTGGGTGTCTGTGAGTCCCCTCTCTCTGCCTCAGGGAAATCCGAAATGTGGAACTGCTGAAGCTGCGATTCGGAGAAGCCCAGATGCACTCCATCGAGGTCATGCTAAAAGTAGGTGGTTGGCTTGCGGTGAAAAGGGCCCCCTACCCCCTTCTCTGGTTCCCAGCTTGGGAGAAAGCAAGAGACGTGGACCCTCTCCTGGCCCTTCAGCTGGCGTGGCCCCCTCGGGCCTTTTCTCCCCCCACAGGACATGGCCGACTCTCGCCGTATTAACGCCAACATCCGTGACGAGGAGCAGAAACTCCCCGAGGAGGAGAGGCCTCCGTTCAGCCTCAGCGCCGTGATCCTGTCCAGTGAGTTCTGGCCACCACTGAAGGAGGAAAAGCTGGAGCTCCCTGAGCAGGTCAAGGAGGCCATGGAGGCCTACACCAAGAAATACGAGAAGCTGAAGGCGAGTGCAGCTCCTTTGCGGGGTGGCCGCCTGGCGTGAGGGGATCAGCTGCGGGGTGGGCCAACGTTGGCCCCAGAAGCTGCTGTGGCGGTCCAGAGAGGAAGCTGGATGGCAAGGAGGCTGGAGAGCCACCGGGCCCTGCTCTCCGCAGGCACTGCAGGCCATGCTTGGTCTGCGTTCAGCCGCGGGCTCCCTCCATCTCTGCCGACCCCTTTGCTTCCCGTTGGCGGCGCCTTCCTTTGGCTATGTGCAGCAGCGTCGGAGCCCTGTTCCCGGGCCGTGTTTCCTGAAGACTTCCTGTGTGGAGCAGCGCAAGGTCACGCAGGCCTGCCCTGGTCAGGACAGTGGTGCCAGATCTGCTGATAAGCACAGTGGCTGAGGGAGAGCCCTGGGGGGCTGTTTGCCCAGTCCGGTCCCTCCTGGAGCCAGGGGCCTTTCCAGGTCTCTGGCCTGTGGTCGCTGAGTGTCCCTCTCCTCCAACCCGTTGCAGGCCATGCGGACCTTGAACTGGAAGCACCACCTGGGCTTGGTGAACATGGATGTAGAGCTGGCGGACCGCACGCTCTCCCTTGCCGTGTCCCCGGTGCACGCGGCCATTATCTTGCACTTCCAGAGCAAGGGTGAGGCTCCCGGTCCTGTTGGAACCTTGTGCCAGGGTCCGCGGCCGGGACGAGGCGAGGCAGGACAAGATGGCAGAGGCACCAGGGGCCCAGAAGCAGACTTGAGTGGAAAGTCAAATTGTAGTCCCAGCACAGGCTGCGGTTGGGGAGTGGAAGAGGGCAGGAGGAGGAGGAGGTGGCCAGGAACAGCCGAGGGCGGGGAGACCAAGGTGCGGGTCCCTGGGCCTGCACAGCAGCAGGCGGGATGCTTGGGACAGCAGGAGCCAGGCGCCACGAGGGTCGGGCAGGAGCTGGGCCACTGCTTGCAGGAAGCCCTGCATCAGTGAGGCCGGAGAGCGATGGGGGAAAGTCAGGCAGTGCTCCCAGCTGTGCTTGTGACGCGCCCCCTCCCCTCGCAGGCACGTGGACCCTGGAGGAGCTGAGCGAGGCGCTGAAGGTGCCTGTGGCCTCACTTCGGCGCAGGATGGCGCTGTGGCTGCAGCAGGGGGTGCTGCGGGAGGAGCCCCCGGGCACCTTCACAGTGATCGAGGAGGAGCAGAAGGACCGGGCAGAGAAGGTGGTCCTGATCGACAGCGACGAGGAGGGCGACTCGGCCATGGCCTCGCAGGCCGACCAGAAGGAGGAGGAGCTGCAGGTGCTGCCGTGCTCTGTCAAGCTTTTCTGGGGGTGGGGGTCCCTGCCTGCTGGGCTGGGGGCAGGCCTGTGCTGGAGCCCGGTCTCCACCACACCAGCGCCCCGCCCTCAGATAGCCGAGGTCTACGAGCGCGGCAGATGCTTTGCAAGCCGGCCTCCACGTGGCTCAGCCCGCGTTACCTCCCTGGAGCACTGGTGCCTCTGCAAGCTCTCGGGCAGAGGGAGCTGCTCTCCAAGCCCCTTCAGAAGAGACGCCTCAAGGCCATCCACCTGAAAAGCCAGGGCTGGGTCGCGGTGCCACCCGGCGCCAGTCGCGCCCTCCAGACTGCGGAGTGCCAGGCTGGGCCCACTTTCACACAGCAGGTTCGCTCCCGTCTGTTCCACGCATAAATACTCCGGACTTCCCGATGCAAGCCTTTCTGGAGCTGATGTGGGGGTCGCCATCCAAAGCATGGTTGTGGGAAAGAATCGGGTTTCCCTTGCTTTCCCCTCAGACTTGGGCCTGTAATTTAGGCTCTGCATTCATAAAAAAAGCCCCACGGTCAAGGAAAGATTCACTTTGCAGTTAGAATCCACCGCAAAGCACATTATGGTCAGGGATCTGGCAGAAGTGGAGCGATTTCCTCTGGCAGGAGAGGCAGCAAAGGAGGTGCAGGTTGTCCTGGGCCCCGCCTGGCAGTAGAGCTGCCGACCCAGGGAAGCACAAGGGACCCCAGCACGAGTTGAGCACTAGCCGCCGGCAGTCCTGGAAGAACAGGCCTCGTTTAGGCCCATTTGTGCAGGCAAGCCCATTCCTGACCTCTGCTCTACCTCCACATTCCTGTGCAGCTCTTCTGGTCCTACATCCAAGCGATGCTGACCAACCTGGAGTGCCTCTCCCTGGAGCGTATCCACAGCATGCTCAAGGTCTTCGTGATGACCGGCCCCGTGGTGACGGAGATCGACATCCTCGAGCTGCAGGGCTTCCTCCAGAAGAAGGTGCGGGAGCAGCAGCTCATCTTCTCCGGCGGCGTCTACCGCCTGCCCAAGAGCTGCAGCTGAGCACCGCTCCTCCGAGGGTGGCCTGTCTGGCGCCCATGTGACTGTGAGTCCAGGGGTGTGGATCTGGCCAGTGTGGGACTCCTCCCAGGCCCATCCCAGGCACACGAGACAACGCGGGTGCCCCATGGGTTGCTTCTGTGCATAATAAAACGGCTTGCATCTCACTTGTAGCATGGGCTGCGCGTAGTTTGTTCCACGCTCTCGCCCAGAGGGGCTGCCTGTGTCCAGCCAGTCGCCACAGGCTCCGGTACGCTGCTTCCCGGTGCTGCTGCCGCTCCAGCCCGTTGTTGTATTTCCTTACAGTGCGTGTGCAAGAGGAAAGCTGAGAAAATTTGGTGGCTGGGACTGGTTCCCCGGTCAGCTGGGCAGGCGACAAGGAAGGGCAGCAGGCACCGGGCGGGGGGAGAGACGCAGCAGAGCTGCGGTGGGCCGCTCTGATGGAGATGCCAGGCTCCCTGTGGCCGGCGGAAGTGGTGGTATTGTCGCCATTGCTGCACTGCGCTGGTAAAGTAGCTACAGTCTGTCTGGTACAGATTTTGAAAGAGAAGGCTGACCTTGCCAGTGGGCTCGCAATCTATTCGACAGGATACAGAGGGGGAACGGGGGAGGGGGGAGTTTGCGGGTCTGTTCTGCTCCTTTCCGTTTGGAACCCCGGAAGTTGCCTTATCTTGGGTAGCCTCGTCCTGCCTAATCTTGGAAGCTAAGCAGGGCTGGTCAAAACCTGCATGGCTACATGTGGTATAGAAATGTAATGGAGGAGGAGGAGGAGGGGACCCCTTGATCTGCCTTACCCAGTATTGTCAACACTGACCGCAGCGGCTGTGCAGGGCTTCAGTCAGGACTTGTTCTCACCTTGTCTGGAGCGGCCGAGGACCAGGCCTGGCCCTTCTGCATGCCACACGGCTGCTCTGCCGCTGAGCTGAGCCCCCCTTCCCTGTGGCCAGCCCCAGGGCAGTGTCTGCAGAACAAGTGCCTAGAGCAGCCTGAGCCGAGAGAGGCTTACACAGCCCGTGAGTAAGGTTCGTGGCTGGGGACAGTTTGATGTGTAACATCTGATGTGCGGCAGCAGCATCAGGAGAGACCGGAAGAGGAGCCCGGCCTGCTCATGCCTCCAGGTGCTTTTGGCGAGCCGGCCTAGAGCAGGAGTGAGGGGGAGAAGCACAGGTGGGTGGAAGGGCTCGCTTGCCTCCTCTGCCTCCCAGGCCGCACTCCTGCGGGAGAGCTAGGAACCCTTCCATGCAACATGCTTTATTTTAGGAACTGCAAGCACAGGCCCCGTCATTGCCAGTTTTCCTCCCTAAAAATCCGCAGATTCCTTTTGCTGCAGAAACAGTGCCCCGGGCGCTTGCTTGAGTGCGCAGGCGGGTCGTGGCGCTGCCCCGGTCCAGACACAGGCCGCAATGTCATTGTGTCGCTGAGACTTGGGGCAGGGCTGCAGCTCTGCCTGTTGGCTGGGAAACATTCTGGCCCTTGTGATGTCACAGTCTGTCCCAGAGTGCCGCGGGGTCTCCACCTTGCGGGTCACCTGACCAGCTTCCCTCCGTCAGACCTCCTCGGAAAGGCTGTCTGGGACTCGGCTGGCTGCTCCATGATGCTGCTGACTTGCATATTTCCTGTATTCCTCGTCGTCCCGTTTTCAGGTGATTCCTGTGGTTTGTCGTATGTTTCTTGTCTCCGGGGTGACTGCAAAGCATGCTCTGAAGCACCTCCTGCCCCCACTCCAACGAATGGAACACAGGAAGCGCCTGCCCTCAGCCCCCTGCCTAGCTCAGCTTTGTCCACGCTGTCTGGCAGCAACAGCTGTCCCAGACCTGGGCCGCAAAGGGTCCTTCCCGGCCCCTCTGGCCTGGACACGCCCCTGGGTTCCCTCTCTCTGGCATTGTTTTGTTTTGTTCCTAAATTCTCCTAGATGCACCACTGTAAATCTGCACACAGAAGTCCCGGTCTCCTTGGGCGGGCTCTCTGGGCTCACATCACCGGGGATGCTGCAGAGGAGCCGGTCAACGCTGCCGGGACAGTCCCTCCATTTCAGATGGGCCTCCAGGCGGGCCAAGCAGTCTTCTCCCGAGGGGAATGCCCGGGCTGGGCTCCGATGAGCCGTGCCTCATTGCGTGGGTGCTATCATCTCGCCAGAGGCAGCCGGTCCGCCAGAAAGCCCTCCGGGAGATTTTGATTCGGACTGTCGGTGGCACCCGGGGCTGCAGGCAGAGGTGCTCTCAGCCCTGAGCCGCCGCCACATTTGCAATCCCATCCTCGTCACCGAATTGCGGAAGAAAAATCCTTCCATAAAAATGGAAACCCAAATGACGGCGGAGATTCTTACCATGGGCCCTTTATTGGAAAGAACCCGGCAGCGCTGAGGGGGCTTCTGGTGGGCCGGAAGGTGCCCGGCCACCCACATCTGACGGAGGCGTTTTTTAGCTGGGACAACCGGGCAACGTTTAGAGAAATGCAAAGGTTATGTGCAGGCTTGAAAAGGAGGCGTTCTTACACAATGGAGACATTGGTGTGCCGTTAAAACATTGATTTTTCTTCTGTCTGTGGTTCCAGTGAAAATAGGTGGAGCAGAGATACTTGGAGCTCAGCCTCCTAATTTTGACTCTCCTGCATACTCGGAGGAAGATGAGGAAACAGATGCTGCTCCGGAAGAATTCTTTTACGAGGGAAGTGACAAAGAAGAGAGTGGCGGCATCGTTCGCCGGGCTGTGAGGAGGGTGGGTTCAGAACGGCCATTTTTGGGTTTCCGCTTTAGAATCTTCAGCATTTTCTTGGGGTGACTGCTATGCACGTTAATTAAGGGGTATGAGCCTGTCCAGGGGCTTTTGGTCAGCTGCGCGTGTCTGAGCCCATTGGAGGGCTGAACTTGTGGGTTAAATGGAGGAGAAGATGGAGCAGGGAAGGGGGCATTTGGCTTCGTTGCACCTCAGCCAGGGTAGGGAAAGAGCCCGAGCAGGGAGCACCGAGCCTGGATTTCCCCAGTCCGGGTCTCGGCCATGGAGCCAACGGGGTGACCTTGGGCCAGTCACCAACTCTCAGCCTAGCCTGCCCCACAGGGTTGTCACGAGTGCAGAATGAGAAGGACCGCCATGTACGGTGGGGCAGAACTGGAACAAATAATGGCTTGACTGCCACGTATGGAGAGGAGCATTAGAGCAAGGTGCCCTTGCGGGGGGTCTCCTCCCTCGCCTGTAGCCCTTGCCCAGAGCCCCGGCTGGAGAGCAGAGGCACGCTCAGGTCCAGGTGGGCTCCATGGCGGTGGCTGGCCCAGAGAAGGGCTGCCGTTCACCTTCTTGCTGTTGCCAACAGTATCCAGAAGACTCTGAGAGTGCGGAAGTCAGCCACCGGCAGGTCTCGATACCACGTAAGCCTTTTGCCCCCGCATCTGTAACTTGGCCGGGGACTGCGAGGGCGGAGGTGCTGCTCCCCAGCACGGGGAGGCGATGTGTGGCAGGAGGGAATGGCAGAAGCGAGGGGGGCAGCCGGTAGTGGGAGGGCCAGTGGAACCAGGAGAGTGTCGACAGTGGGGGAAGGTGGGTCCACCACGGGCTCTGACTGGCAGCAGCCTTTGATCCGGAGTCCTTCCGTCACCAGCCCCTTGGTGCTTCTCTGGCTCCACATGCTGGAGACCCAGCACACATCTTCCACCTACAAAGTGGGGGTGCCCCCACTCAGCCATGCCCCCCAAAGGAAGGCCAGGCAACCTCAGTCAGTGCTGTTGGGAGACCCCCGCGTTTCAGGGGGCTTGGGACAGGTGCCCCCTTCGTGCTCCCAGGAAGCCTCTCCCCTCCGCTCTGTGTCACAGTCTCACGAAGCTTGGAGTGCAACTGCCCAGAGGTGCTGGCCAAGGGCACGCTGGTTGCGATTGTGGCCACCTTTGCCTTCCTGGGCTTCTTTTCCACCTCGGTGCTGCTGCTGGTGGCCGTGTGCATCTTGCGGGTGATCGACAGGCAGAGGTGAGTCTCCTGGGCGGGGCGCGCACCTGGTCCTTCGCTGGGCTGTCCTGCACCGGGTTCCTGCCAGGCAAAGGTGGGTGCCGTGGCACATGCCCCGCTCCCGTGAAGGGAACCTGTGGGCTAATGCTCACCTGTCCTGTCCACGTGTGGCATCTTGTGGGTCCTGGGTGGAGCCTCGATGAGGGGCTCCTCCGAGCTGCAAGAGTCACCTGTACGGTGTTCCACCTGCTTCCTCATTAACTGGTGTGTGCATATTTCCCCCTCTGCTGCTCTCGTTTTCAAGGAAAAAGGGGAAGGAAGCAGGCGCCAAGCATTCTGCGAGCAAGCGGCCTCTCCCTCCTGTCCCGTAAGTACGGCGACACAATGGGGACAGCATCCAGGTCGCAGGAGGAGACTTTGGTCTCTGCAGTTTCAGAAATCCCTCCATGCCTTACAGCACCGCCTGTCCCAACACGATCTTTTCTCCGACTGCAGGCCTCCCCGCCCGGAGCATACGTACACGACCGTAAAGCCTTGCTCTGGGTATGAGCGACTTCATCCAGTTTCCCCGTGAGTAGTGGATGCCCCTACTGTCTCCCCTTTTGCCCCAGATAAACTGAATTTTAAAACCGGCTTCCTGCATTCAGCATCCAAAATGAAATAGACAAAGACGTAAGCAAAGTCTTGAACATCACGGCGCGACCTGTAACAGCTGAAATGCCAAGTTTGTCTTGCCGGTTGAAGCTTGATTCTTGATAGTTTGCACGCGGGTTGGAAATTTAACTGGTTTATTTGCAGGTCCCTGGAATGGCTCTTACCCCCTGCAGTCTTTAGCAGTCTCCCCTCGGTTGGATCGGAAGGTGCAGCTCAGCACGGCTGAAACGGCCCTTTGCTCTTTTCTGTGATTTCAGAACGCGCCGGGAGCGAAGATACCAGAACGTCAAAGAGCCGAGAGCCCAGTCAGTAGGAGTCCCGGGACAGGGCGGCTTCCGCGGTGCCGAGCACAGCCCGATTCGGGGGCGGGTGTGAAGGGAGCCTGGCACGTGCCGGACTGTGTCTGGGACGGCTCGCTTTCTCCTCCTGTCTCTTGCGGGCGGCTGGAGGCGAGCTGCCCCGGCCCCTCCCCTGTGCCGCGTTCACCTGCCCCACTGGCCAAAGGCAAGAGGGAGGTGGTTCGCCTTGGCGGGAGGCCTGCCCCTGCCCCGATCTTTCCTCTCACCCAGAGCGGGCAGTGAGGAGGCTGCTGCACGGGGCCTGTAGAACCACTGGCTGTGGGACTGCACGGATACACAGCAGGGGTCCAGAGGCGGGGAGACGCTGCCGAGGCTTTGCCCTGGCCTATGCTTCCCTGCCTGTCTTGCCCGGTGTGATCCGTGGGGGGTGTCTGCCCCTTCCCATCCCCTGCTGCCTGGTCCTTGAGCAGGGGTGCTGCTGGGGACTGAACCCTGGTCATTCTGGACCCCAAATGTAGATGGATCCTCCCCCAGATGTGGCCTGCCCCATGAGACCTCCCTTCCAAGGGCCTTTGCGGTGGGGGTTCAAGCAAAGAATGAGGAAGAGTGACGTGGAGGAAGCCTGAGGTTGAGCCCCAGCCAGGCCGACGGCCCTCCAGCTGGGGGTCGAGTCTCGTCCTTGTGTTTCCCCAGAAGAGCAGTTTCGCAGCCCTCAGTTGACTTCGTGGCTGCAGTTTTCCCCTCGTTCTAAAGCCGGGAACGCCCCTCCTGGGCTCAGTGACTGGCAGGAAGGGGCTTTTGGATGAGTCGTCTCACCTCCTCTTATCTCGAGCCACTTCCCTTGGGAGGGGCTTCTCTGGCATGGGGCACTCAGCGTTCTCTGCCAGAGGAAGACAAGTATGCTGCAGCGTGTTGGCACAGAGTTCCGGGGCAAAGATCAGCAGCGTCAGTAAGTTGTAAGGTGTGGTGGCAGAGCAAGTGTCTTGCCTGCCTGCCGCTCAGGTGTGGTCCACAGTGGCAGCTCCAGGTAGACGGATCTCGGGGAGCTGGTGATTGTGAAGGCCTCCACTTCTGAGACCCCGAGAAGCTTCCTTTACTTGGTCTGTAATTTAGCAAGCACTTGTTCCTGATCTATCCATCTTTTCTTGTAATCACCCAGACGGTCTTCTAAAAATTATTTCCTGGAGAAGAAACGTTTAGCGCTCTCATACGGGGCGAGGCATTCTGATCTGGGTACAGAAGCTGCTTCTTGCAGTGCTGCACAAAGACAGTAGGCAAACAAGTCTGTCCACGTTTCTTGCGTCTGTGTGTGTGTTGAGGGGCACGTTCAGCCCTTGCTCCACCTCCTGCCCCCCCGTGGTTTGTGCTCCTCCACCAGCTTCCCCGGGGCTGGCTCATGCATCTGGGTTCACATCACAAGGAATTCTGTGTGCAGCGCCAGTCCTTAAAAGGGATCCTGTAGAACCTGGGCAATGTGGAGAACAGGGCCAGCAAAATGATCCAGCGGCTGGAACAGCTCCCCTCGGAGGAGTGATGGCAACTGTTGGGGCTCTTTGGCACAGAGGAAGGGTGAGTGAGGGATGCGACAGAGGTGCCCAAAATCACGCCTGAGGTGGAGAAGGTGGACAGAGGCATCGTACTCCATGCCTCAGACAGTGTTGGAATTTGGGGTTATGTGATGGTTGATTGTCAGGGAAAGGACCTGGAAGCCGTCACGAGCCCCCTTCTGAGCTCAGGGTACGCCCACCTCAAGAGCCCGGGACTGACACCTGCCAAGCATACAGCTGCAAGAACTCCTCTCCCTGCAAGGGCCAACTGGCACCACGACATCCCTGCCCTTCTGGGCTGCTGGTGGACACACGGTCTGTTTCTTGTCTTTCCAGAACCTCGCCAGAGAATGAGTACATTTCCCCCAAACCCAGGCAGTCTGTTTCCACGTGAGTGAGGAGGACAAGATGAGGTTCCACAGCCTTTGTTACTGCAGCACAAATCTCCCGCAGTTTCCAGCCCAAGGCCAGAGCCAGTCTCAAGAGCAGAAAGTCACCCATGCCCCTTCCAAGACTTTCCCAGAAGCCCTGAAAAAATTAATGGGAGAGGTGTGGAAGCACCAGTGTGAGAGCCAGTTTGGTGACAGCGCGGGACTGGACTCAGGCAATCCGGGTTCTATTCTCTGCTCAGCCATAGAGCCAACTGGGTGACTTTGGGCCAGTCACAGGCCAGCCTACCTCACAGGGTGGTTGTTGTGGGGATAAGAATGGGAGCATGATACAAGGGGTAGAATGATGCAAGTCATTTTGAGCTTGTTATAAGAAAAAAGTCGGATATGAATCAACTAAATAAATAAGCCATCCGATTTTATAGAGCTGTGCTTTGGGTGAGCGCTGAAAGCTCTGATTTAGCCTCTGGGCTCATGGAAGCTGTTGGCCTCAGGCGTCACCATCCATAAAATGGGCACATGGTTTTCCAGGCCTCCCTGCCTAATTGCTTAATAATACATTGTACACGTGTGTCGCCGCTGCCCCAGGTGCCTGCGTCACGCGCTGCTGGGCCTGCCGCTCAGCTCGGCTCGGCCGGCTAGCATCCTGCTTGGTGGTTGGGGCCAGGCACTCGCAGAAGAACTCCCCAGGGGCTCCGCTCCCGCTCTGGGCCTGTCCCGGCTGCGCGGATTCCTCCCTCAGGTGCACAGGCTGCTGGAAGTCAGTCCCTTCTTGCAGGCTGAGCTGTTCACAAGTTGAAGCTCCTGGCACCAGCAGCTGCTAGCCGCAAGCGTGAAACAGAACCTCGATGTCTTGCGGCACGTCACTGAATTCCCGCCAGGTGGGAGGGCCGTGGCCTTTGCCTCATGTCTCGCGGCTGCGCTTGCTGGTGGCATCTGATCAGCCACTGCCGCATGCGTGAGACAGCCATGTGGGATCTCTGGTCCGATCCGCTGAGGTGCGTCTCCTGAACTCTTTGCACTGCAGATCCCCTTTGCCGCACAAGTACGCAAATATCGATGAGCTGCAGCCCGAGCCCACGTAAGTGTCACGGGGAGGGAGAGTCCCCTCGCGTCCTGCGTGCCTCGAGCACGGCCCGTCGCGTCAGAAGCAGCAGCCAGAGATGAGTGGGAAGGCCATTTGTGCATCAATGCAGGTGCCTCCTGGCTTCCTGCGCACATCAGCGGGACGTGCCCTCCCTAGAGGTGCAGCTTTTAATATCGAGGGGAGGGGGTGTGGAGGATCCAGGCAAACCCAGCACCTTGCTCTTGTGCGTACACGTGTGCACTTAAGCACACACCCTGCCTCAGTGCACACGCAAGTTTCAGGAACTTCCCACCAACCGATTATGTTGTGGCCTGTGGTGTGGCAGACTTGCTGCTGCGTCATGGGGCTTCAGGAAAGGGCCAGGCACGACACCAGCCAGCCTCCCTTGCTGGAGGACACGGTTCTTGGTCTTTCCAACTGGCACGTGCATTGGCAACCCCAGTGTCTCCCAAAGACCCACCGCTTACAGCTGGTCCCTGGGTGCTACAATTCCTGCTGCTTACCAGCAAGGAAGGCCCAGCACGCACAAGCCACGGAATGCTGGCCCGTAGGAAAGTTGGAGGGGCCTGGTGTGGCCGTCCAGCTCCGCTCTTACACTTCTTTATTGTTTACAGACCCGAAGGCTCCCCAGACCCTGGCGTGACACTGAAAGGGTGAGTCAACACGTTCTAGGAGAGGAAGGAGTGGGGCAGGCGGGTGGACCTGCCTGGCTGACAGGCAAGATTCTGCCTCGGCTGCCTTTTTGTAAGGTGCATTTTGGAACGTGAGCTGTCATGCAGAGAATTTTCCCTGAAGCTTTTCCCATTTTCCCTGAAGCTTCCAACCCTCATGGTGGCATTAAAACTTTTGAAAATAAGTGGGCACTTACCGCAAGTAAAATCAGCAGGTGTCAAATCTCAGTGGCTTCTGTTTCCACCTGACCCCTTTCACAGACACGAGATCCATATTTATGAAGAAGTTCAGTAAGAGAAGGGCCATTGAGATGCGCAACTTGGAGAACTTATGCCGGGAAGGAACAGTCCCACAGCTCTGGAGACCGCCTGCAAACTGCATGTGCCTTCTTCATATTAAAGCACACAGTATTCTGCCTTGAGCCCCATTATTTGCATACTTTGTGCATTTTCGCTTCTGGTGGACTCCCAACAGAGCTGGGCTGAATTGCTATGGCCTCGACTGCAGCATTTTCCAACAAGCTCACCAGTGTTTCTTCCACGCTGTTGAATGCTGAGTGGATCATTTGCAATGCAACAGCTGCCTGAAAAAGAAAAAAAGACAATGCAAACTCTTCTCCTGGTAGAGACTGTTGCTTATTTACAAGCCTGTGTTTGGACCTAGGCCTGGGGAGAGAGGACGTGAGAGAGGCACCCCATTCACTGCCAGGTCCTGCGGTGTAAGGCCAGTGGATTGGGCTGCCAGCATTATTTAAGCTGCGGGACACAAAGACTTCTACTGGATGAAACTTCTACAAGGAAGCCCATCAAGTGATGGAGTAAATTTCACCTGCTTAATTGTGGATCCTTTTGGCCCCCCTTCAAGTTGCTGAATACCTGCATTCCAGAAGAACCAAATAGAGCTTTTGGGCTCTCTGCACAGCGCCATGTCCCTGGCAGGATGTGCATCCTAATCAATCCAAAGGTCCATTCTCACCTATCATAGTTACGACGACTTACAAAGACTACAATTCTAGGTGTGCACTAGGTGGGAGGTGCCACCTTTACCCATCCTGTTTGATAGGCAGGTTGGTGGGCTAAGAGACGCCATCATCTACTGAAATTTTTGAACGCTAAAATCTGTTTTCTCAACAGGCCATCCGCTCGGTCTGAGCTAAAAGGGTAAATTCTGCCTTCCTCCAGGTGCAAGCTGATATTTGGAGCAATTATTTGCACTGAGTTGTGAATCTGCACAGCTTGGATGCCATCAGGGCACCTCTCCTTAAATCCCCCCATTGCCTTCAAACCTGTCCATGGCCTTGTCCCCCGTTACCTCTCCAACATCCTGGTACATCCCTGAGATGTTTGCTCCTCCAGCTCCTCCTCCCTTTCGCTCTCAGAAACGACACCACCTGCCCTTCCCTGCCTTCATGATGCTACTTCGCTCATGTCAGCCTGGCTTTGGTGCAGCCGGCAAGGCCCTGCATCCCGCAGTCCAGCTGAAGCCGTGGTGCGGCTGCAACCACAACCAGATCTTTCCTTCCTATTCTCTTGAACATACCTGGCCTGTGTCAGGGAAACATTGGAGTAGCACCTGTGGGAAAGCGAGCCCCGATCTACAGGAGGCGCGCTCACCTCGGCGGTTTTATTGGTGAGAACACCCAGGGCAACCCCTCTGCAGAGCAGACCTGCGACGGCGCTGTCCGGTACAGGGGCACAACCAGCTACACGTTTTGGGGACACACGCAGGCTGTTTTATGGGGTTCGACTCGACGTACCGGGAGCAGGTGCGTGAGGAGCAAAGGATGGGCACGTAACGCGTTCGTATGTGAGGGGCCTGAGGCGCCCGGTGCAGGCCGGGATGGCAGACGTTGGCGGGACAGCCGGCCAGGCGCCCGCCGCACTGCGGGCCTCGCGCTCCGGAGCGTGGTCGCGGGTCGCCCGCGGCGGCTGGGAGGAGGGCGGCCGCCGCGGGCCGGGGGCGGCGAGGGCGAGCGCGGCGGCCCGTCGCCAGGGGCCGGGGACGCGTTGCCACGGGCGGCCTCCGGCCGCGCTCGCGCCACCAGCCCCGTCGCCTGGTTACCGCGTCCCCCGCGATGCCCTCCCCCGCCGCTGCGCCAACAGCGCAGCGCCGCTCGAGCGGGAGGCAGCGCGCGTACGCCACAGGGCGGGCGTAGCCTGCGCTGGGGATCGGCTCTGGGCCGGTCGCGCGCGCTTCCAGCGCAGCCGTCACCAAGCGACCTGCCTCGGGCCCCAGCCCGCCTTTCGCCTCCTGACGGCTCAGCCTGAGAGGCGGGAAGCCAATGGGTGCCCGCTATCAGTCATTCAAACCGCCCAATCCCGAGAAGCGTTCGGCTGCCAGGCTGCCAGCTGCTGGCGGGAAAGGCGCGGAGGGGCGGGAGAAAGCCGGGCAGCGCGCCAATTGACAGGGGAAAGGCGGAGTTGCTCGAATCAACCGTTGCAACGGGTCAAAAAAAAGCGTTGGGTTGGCGCGTGCCGACGAGGGCGGGGACACCGGGCGCGGCGCGGCGACTGGCGGCAGCGGTGCCCAATGCGCGCCGCGACCTCCCCGCATGCCGCCAATAGCTCCAGACGGCGCGCGTGACGGAGGAGGTGGAGTGAGCCGCGGGCGGTGGTCCCGCCCCGCTGCGCGCGTCTCCCTATATAAGGCCCGTCCGTTACCTTGACGCAACCAGTCTTCGGCTCGCTCCGTCCCCGAGGGGTCTGAGGCTGCTGCTCCTGTCGCGTGCCCCGCCGCCAAAGCCCGCCCGGCCATCATGAGAGAGATCGTCCACCTGCAGGCTGGCCAGTGCGGCAACCAGATCGGCGCCAAGGTTGGCTGGGTGGCGGGGAGCGGGGAGGGGCGCGCAGGCGCGGGGCCGGCCAGCCGGCCGAGGGAGCGGGACGGAGCCGCCGCCTCGCTGACCGGGCCCGCCCTCTGTCCCCCTTCGCCCCGCAGTTCTGGGAGGTGATCTCGGACGAGCATGGCATCGACCCCACCGGCACCTACCACGGCGACAGCGACCTCCAGCTCGAGCGCATCAACGTCTACTACAACGAGGCCACCGGTGAGGGGAGCGGGGCCTTGGCCCCGATCGTGCCGGCCCCGGTCTTGCGGGGAGGGGGGCGCGCTTTTCCGGATGCAGCCTGCCTGTCGGGAGCAATGGGAGTTGGAGTCCGAAGTTCGGCACGGGGCCTGGTGCCGCCTTCTGGCCTGAGCGGCTGTGCGAATCGCGCCGTGGGCTGCGGCTTGCGCGATCCTTGCCTGCTGCGCGCCTCTGGAGCAAAAGCCCACGGATCGCAGTGTTTGTGGGGGGGCAGAGCGCGGGCTTCCTGCCACGGGTGGCGAAGGGCCGGGCAGGTGCGCCTGTCGGAGCGACCTTTGCCCCGATCTCCTTTCGCCACCCCCGCTCGCTGTGACATCCGCTGTTGTGTGTGTGGCTTTGCAGGTGGTAGTGAGATGCCTCTCTCCGGTCGCCCGCCTGAGCGTGGGGACAAGTGACGATTTGGGGCGCTCAGCCAACAGGCCACCGCTGCGATCTCCTGCTTCAACTGTTTTCTTGCCAGCTTTAGAGATACCTTGTTGGGAAGGCCCACTGGCTCAGCTGAAAAGCCGCATTTTTTTTTGCAGCTTGCTAATGCCATCCTTTGCAAAGGTCATGCTGAATGCATGCAAATGCCGACTTGGGTAAATCTCTGGATTTTTATGCCTGAAGACATTGTCAAGGGCCCTCCGGTCTGTGTGAAGCCAAAACCAAACTGTTCAGCTGAGGCTCTAGGGATGAGCGCAAGTTCTGGTTGGAGACAGCGATGACTCTGCAGATGCTGCTCGGGCAGCTCTGGTGTTGTGGGAGCATCACTTGGCTGGAGTGTTCAGAGGGAACTCTCCAAATAGGGCTCTCTGGGCCGGAGGCTAATGAAGTAGCCTGTAGAGGAGGAGACAGGCAGTTTGCAAGATCTCCTAGTCACTGATGTGATGGGGCTCCCTCCTCCAGGGGCAGTGGGTGTGCATTGCAGATGACCTGGGAATCTCTCTGATAGCTCTGATGCCAGCTAGAGGGAGCTGACTGCATGTTTGAACAGTGCTGCTAAAAGCCAGTTTAAACAGCCAACTCATTCACCTGCCTTCTAGAAAGTTCCTGGGCTGGCTCTCTGCCAAAATAGCTGCTGGGTACTTCTGGGGAGAGGTAGACATCTTCAAAAGCGAAGCGAGAGCACATTATTTCTGATCTAGTTGCTTGGCAAAATTGTACCTGGCACCCTTGCAGCTAATACGTTTTACTATACTGGAGGGGACCGTCTGTTGAGATGGTGACATGGTAGAAATCAGCCATGCTTGATCTCAAGAATGGCTTCTCTTCAGAGCTCTTTCAGATACTGGCTCCCAAGTCCGCATGGACCCTTCAGAGTTTCCATCAGCAGTGTTTCCCTTCAGCAGCTGAACGGTTTTTGTTTTTCTCTGCTAATCAGTGTATTTTTCCACAGGCGGCAAGTATGTTCCTCGGGCTGTGTTAGTGGACCTGGAGCCAGGCACCATGGATTCTGTGCGCTCTGGCCCTTTCGGGCAGATCTTCCGCCCCGATAACTTTGTCTTTGGTGGGTAGCCCGCAGTTTCAATAGGGAGGTCGCAAGGCCCAGGTTGTATCCTTGCCACACAGATGCGTCGGACATACGGGTGGGGGTGGGGGTGATTTCTAACAGCTAGACTGAAGAACAGTGCGAACCAGCATGGCTGCCATGTCCAACTCCTGGATTTCTTACTGCCCGTCATGCAGTTAACTGTTCCTGGCAAATCTAAAATCGTGTTGCTGTTAGTGTAACGCAAGGGTAAACTGATCGTGATGCTGGTGATTCCTCTGGCAAATCGGGTTAGAAGGCCCATATTGGGATTCTTAAATTACTTGAGGTGTGAAGACTGCATAGACTCAGAAAGGCCTTCAAATGGAGGCTGAGTTGCCCATTGATGCATTTTGGTCTTACCCGACTCGCGCCAGCACACAGGGTGTATCCAGCCACGGAAGCGAGAATTGCTTTTGCACCGCACTGCCAGGGCCTGGATTTGCCCAAGAATGCAAGGGTGCGAGCCAAGAGTTCTGTGATCTCAGGTGTTGATAGGCATCCTCGCACGTATGAGATCACGCGGTCACACTGGCTCCGCATAATCTTGGCACCAGGCCTGACTTGCCCGATAAAATGTGCCTGCACAGTTTTAGCGGCTCTGAAAGCAGCGTGTCTCGGTTGGGAAAGCCCCCGTTGGGTTTCTGTGCATCCTTAACGGGTGCTTGCTTGTTTCTTCCCAGGGCAGAGTGGAGCAGGCAACAACTGGGCCAAGGGCCACTACACAGAAGGGGCAGAGCTGGTTGACTCAGTGCTGGATGTTGTGAGAAAGGAAGCGGAAAGCTGTGACTGTCTGCAGGGCTTCCAGCTCACACATTCCCTGGGGGGTGGCACAGGCTCTGGCATGGGGACCCTCCTCATCAGCAAGATCCGCGAAGAGTACCCCGACAGAATCATGAACACTTTCAGCGTTGTCCCCTCCCCCAAAGTGTCAGACACGGTGGTTGAGCCCTACAACGCAACGCTCTCTGTGCATCAGCTAGTAGAGAACACGGACGAGACGTACTGCATCGACAACGAGGCGCTGTACGACATCTGCTTCCGAACCCTGAAGCTGACGACTCCCACATACGGTGACCTGAACCATTTGGTGTCGGCTACCATGAGCGGGGTGACAACCTGCCTGCGGTTCCCAGGCCAGCTGAATGCTGACCTGCGCAAGCTGGCCGTCAACATGGTACCCTTCCCTCGCCTACACTTCTTCATGCCTGGGTTTGCGCCCCTCACCAGCCGCGGCAGCCAGCAGTACCGGGCCCTGACGGTGCCGGAGCTCACGCAACAGATGTTCGACGCCAAGAACATGATGGCGGCTTGTGACCCCCGCCATGGGCGCTACCTCACGGTGGCTGCCGTTTTCCGCGGCCGCATGTCGATGAAAGAGGTGGATGAGCAGATGCTGAACGTGCAGAACAAGAACAGCAGCTACTTCGTGGAGTGGATCCCCAACAACGTGAAGACGGCCGTCTGTGACATCCCTCCCCGGGGCCTCAAGATGTCCGCCACCTTCATTGGCAACAGCACGGCCATCCAGGAGCTGTTCAAGCGCATCTCGGAGCAGTTCACGGCCATGTTCCGGCGCAAGGCCTTCTTGCATTGGTACACCGGGGAAGGCATGGATGAGATGGAGTTCACCGAGGCCGAGAGCAACATGAACGACCTGGTCTCGGAGTACCAGCAGTACCAGGATGCCACGGCTGAGGAGGAGGGCGAGTTTGAGGAAGAGGCAGAGGAGGAAGCCGCTTGAGGGCCCAGCCGTCAACACCTGTAAATTATGTTTAAAGCTGTCATGAACTTTATTCATTCCAACCTTGTTCTCGGGTTTCTTTCTTCTGCACTTCCAGTTTCTTCTTGATGCCACCTTTCTGATGTTGTACAAACAATAAAAGTGTTCTCATCCTGCATGTTGTCTCCTCTGTAACTCATCGTAAAATGCTTCCCGGGTGCTGTTCCCAAAAGTGAGCGCGTACTTGTGCCGGATAGCTGGAAAACAAATGAAATGAGTCAGGAGCTGTCTGCTCAGACTTGTCCACTTGATGTGTGGTAACACAAGATTGAAAAGCGATGAGGTACAGAACTGCTGTGCCCCGAGAACCAGCTGAAAGCCACCCGGGAGCCCAAGAGGGTGCCTCCTGCAGCTCGGCCTAGTGTTGGTCTGCTGTATCTCTGCATTGGCCCCATCTGGATCAGCCGGTCACTCGTGTGAGACAGAGCTGAATTGCCCACTTCCAGAACTTGGCCAGATCTCTAAAGGAGCCAGTGTGATATGCTTGCCTTGGCAGGTATTCTAGACGGGCTTGCGTGGAAACTTGGTCTTGATTGATGAAGAGAAACACTGCGGTACCAGAAACGGTGTAGCTCTCTGAAGATGCTTGCAGGCAGGGGCGAGGGGGTGCAGGGCATGTGCTTGCTCAGAGAGAAAATGGCGGCAAGACACTCTGCATCTTGGCCGGGGCACTGTCGTTGTTTGGGAAGCTTGGCAGAAGGTGAAAAGGTGGCAGCTGGGGGGCCTCGAAGCTGGATCAGCCCAAAGACTCCTCTAGTCTTACCATCCTGATTCCCACTGTGTTCTGGAAAACCCAAGGCTGAAGCCCATGGCTGCTGCTTCTGAAAGAGGCTCCTGCTGCCTCAGTTCTCTAATCTCCCATTTTTTGTGTTTTGTTTTTTAGTAGCTTTCAGGTGGGTAGTATTGTTTTAGTCTGTTGCAGGAAACAAAAACAGCTTTCTGCAACATTCAAGTGTGGGTTGTGGTGGAAGCTTTGCGACCGCATGTGGTTGAGCTTGGAATGCTACAACATTGTGAGCCTCGGAGCTTCGGGCACTTTCAAATCCCGTAGAGTTGTGTGCGTGTGTGGTGGGGGGGGGGAGCTATGGCTACAGTGCTGTTCAATAGAAGTCAGGATGTTTGCTGGAATGCGCCGCTGTACGCTCAGTCAAACACAGAGGGTTTTGTCACTAAACGATTCTCATTTTCCCCTAGTAGAAATTGGGCAGGCATTGGGGGCTGCATCAGCGATTCTCTTGGTGATTCTACGTTCTAGCTAGCTACGTTTCATGATGGATTCTGGCAGTGCACCAGGCAATGTGCTAAATTCCTCAGGCATGCTCCTCCATTGCCAGGCTGATGCGGAATCCAGAACGGTTGCCATGCTAAGCAGCGAGAGCAGGGTGTGTATCCTGCATTCATGCAAGCCGTCAGTTGCACAAGCATGCAGGTTGCCTAAGCGACGGAAAGCATCGGGCGCATTCTGTAGCTTGAAGACATCCAAGGACGAGGAGCTTTGAACTTGCTCACAAGCTTCCTCCGTCACCTCCGCACAAGCATGGCCACCAGCCGGCTTGGCCACAGGAAGGGGCGCTTGTGCACGGATGGCTGGCTGCTTGCTCCGAAGGAAGAGACCCTACGCTTCAGAGCACATTCCCACAACTGCTCCAAAAGGAGCCGCTGGAATCGTGCTCGTTCGTGATGTGCTGCCTCCTTTTGCCAGTTTCTTACGAATGTCCCAACCGCTTGGGGATATTTGTCTTGCTAGAAAAGATAAGGGCCTAAAATAGAAGTTCAAGGACCTAAATGATTTGGAAGAGCGCGCGCGCACACACATGCACATGCGCGCGCGACACCCTGCAGAAATGCTTGCAGGAGCCGAGAATGAAGGCTGAGTTGCCCTATTTGGGAGGTTTATGCTCTATCTTGGATCTTGCTGCTGCATCTCAATGGCTCCTAATTGGTTGCGTAGATATTTTACGTGACACGTCATGGGGAGGGTAGCGGAGGAAGATCTTCCTCGTGCCGCCTGCCAGGGAAGCGGAGAATCTGGCTGCCTCGGTGGGCACACCATCCGCGAGGCAGCCGCCACGGGCTGAGGAAAGCCCCACTCCCCTCCTCAGGTGTCCACGGGTGGCACCCTCTGGCAGGGGGCTTGCGTGGCCCCCTGGAGGGCTGGGTGCAGGGCGGGGGCCGCCTGCAGTGGAGAGCAGCGTGCCCTGGCAGGCTCGGGTGGGGCTCTCCGTGACTTACTTGGCACGAACCCCGTGTAGAAGGGCATGAGTCCGCTGCTGGTGTAAATCTGGGTGTTGGGCCAGTACGTGCGCGGCAGCCGCTTGCCAAAGCTGTAGAGCGGGCTTCTCAGCCTCTCCTGGGGAAAGACAGCGTAGCCACTGGAGGATGCAGGCCACCTTTTGTTCTGGGGGTCACTGGGGGGCTTCATCAAAAGTGAGAGCGCGCTCGGGAAGCCAGGATGGCTTGGGGGGCACAGGCTTCCAAGCGTCCACTTGCTCCTAAACTGGTCCAGGAACATCCGGGGGCCCTGCCACTATTAACACAGCAAGCCCTGGCAGGGGGGAAGGCACCCCGACCCCTTTCACTCTGCAGGCGCACTCGGTCACGGAGTTGGCCAGGTTCCCCTGGGAGCTGGCCGTGCTTCCTCCATGCTTCCAGCCACAGCCCTTCTTGGGAGTCCCAGGGGTCCCCCACCCAGGCCGCAGGGGAGCAGATGCCTGTGGGCGAGCTCCCTCGTGTTCCTCAAGTCACGGCCTGGCCGGCTGGGACCACCAGCGGCTTTGTGGAAAGGAACCCCTGGCCATGGCTTTAATGCAGGCCTCTGCTAGCCATTGGCTACCGTGAAAGGGGCACAGCCTGACTCCCTTCCAGCCTTGTGGAGAAAACAGGATCAGCCCCACACTGTCCGTGTTACCTGGTTATGGTCAAATTCATTCATGGCTTCTTTTACTCCCTTCAGGTAGTTGACACCCATAATCCAGGTGAAGCGTGGAATGAACCCCGTGTACCCTGTGGATGGAGACACACGGGAAGGGGTGAGTCGTTGCTGGAAAGGGCCATGCCTGGGCGACCCACCCTCACCGAGAGAGTGTCAGGGCTGGGTCCGCCAAGCAACACCTGGGCAGGCGGCAGGCGCCGCCCGCCGGAGCCTCATGTGTGGACTCCACCGTGCCACTCGGGCTCTGCCCGGAAGGCCGAGGGCAACAGCCCAGACGCCTCCCCTGCCCACTGCCTCGTCACCTGAGATGGCTTTTCGCTGGATGAGGTTGGGCATGTCCAGTCGGGGGATCCGGCCAAACCGCTTCACATCTACCGTCTCTGTCGCTGGCGGGAGCGGCATGGCCTCGATCTGGGTTGGCTGGAAGGGAAATGGCCCCGGAGTCTGCGCGCTCGGCACACGCTTCCTTTTATCCCGCCTTTCCCCGTGCAGGAGGATGGGAGGCCCTCTGGCCCAGCCTCCTCCCAGGAGCCTGCTGCGTCAGACCGGGGCCACCTTGCCTGGCCGCCTGTTCCACTCCACAACCGCCAGCCCTCCCGATGCACCAGGCACCTACCTGCTCGGTCCCTGGGCGGCACGGGATGCCCCTCCAGCCCTGGCCGCACATTAAGGACATGCCGGGTTTGCAAGGCCCCCGGCCCTCCTCTTGCCCGCACACCAGGGCAACGTCCGGGTGGCACAGCATCTTCCGCTCCCCTTGCATCGCCGCCAGCTGTGGCCCAGCTGTGGCTGCAAACTGCCTCCATCCAGGCCCGCACGCCAGCCGGATGCCTGGGTGGCAGGGCGTGCCTTGTCTCTGGCCCTTCAGTTGGGCGGAACTGGCATCCTTCCACATCTGGGGGTCCGGCAGGGGGTCAGCTCTTGGCACGGGGGGCCAGAGTTCTTTGCCTAGAATGGGGAAGCAACCATAGTAGGGAGCAAAGCCTGAAAAAGAAAGCATACACAGGAAGTCCCGCTGTTGTGCAGAGCCCGCCTCCTCGTCCCCAGCCACCGCTTTCTGTGCAGGAGGCAGCTGGTCGGGCACGGCTGGATGACTGGAGGGAGTGTGCCGCTCCTGCAGGGGCACTGAAGGGCTCACCTGTGTATCCAGGGACATATTTCTGGTACTGATCCATCACCATCTCGTGCTCAGGCAAGTTGCGCCGGCTGTAGTCCTCGATGAACTTCGGCCTGGTCAGGGGCGCGAGCACCGAGCAGGGGCTCTTGTGAACCCCGGGGTCAGTCAGCATTTCACAAGTGGTCCTGCCGTACGTTTTCCCAAGCTGGTAGCGGACCTGAGGGTAAAAGCCCCCATAGCTTCGGAGGAAAGAGCAAACAAAGGCGGTTAGCATCCTCCGTTTCGGTGCGTGGTATTTCAGGGAGAAGACTCGATCTCCCTGCCCTGTGCCTCAGCCTGCGATAATGTGCCGGCCATGCCCATTTCCTCTCCTGATGTAGCCTGGCGGGCGATGTTGCAACCCCTGAACGGAGGACCAGGTGCAGAAGCCTGCTGGCTCAGACCTAGAGATGGGGTGTTCTTTCTCATCGGGGGGCAGGGTGATTTTTCTGCCTATCTCTTGTTTGAACTTGAGCCTGAGTCCTCCTGACTGGAGATCTAGAAAGAATTCTGAGCCCAGGCAGGTGCTTTCAGTAGAGAACCTGAACAGAATGGAGCTCATGTTCTTTCCAAAGGAATCCACTCCTGGTTACCCCAGCAGTCTTCTTTTAGGACAGATATGGGGAGGCAGTTTGCTGCCACCTTTGTTGGTAAGCGGGTGTTTAAAATCCGTGATGATGATCGGAGTTCTCTCCAGGGACCAGATCTACTTCCTGGCAGGGCTTGTTCCAGCCTAGCACCCTTTTCCCAGCCAGCTTCTCAGAGAAGCCCCAAAGCAGAGCCCCTTCTGCTTCACTCCAGGTACTGAGAAGCAGGCGTCCTCTGACCATGGTGGTTTCATTATTTGTACTGTGTGATTCAAAGGACTTTTTGCCCCACTCTCCCGCCAAGCAGGGCTGCCATGGAGAGGAGGGCGTTCACTCAGACAGTTGCCACGACTTGGCGACACAGGACAACAGCTTCGGCCCAACACCCGGGGAGCTTCCCGTCCATGTGAGGGCTTGAGCCAGGGCCTTCCCCGTCCGTGCAGCACTGCCCGCTGCTGGGCCACCCTTTTTCATGAGCGGCCCGGAACCCTTGGTCTCAGGAGAAGGTGCTCACCCAGGGATGTAGTATGGGTCCTGCGGGAAGAAACTGCACTTCTGAGCAGCCGTCATGGTGGCCAGTGCCAGTGGCTTGGGCCCTCGGCTCAGGCAGGCCAGGGCTCAGGCCGGGGGCTGAGGAGGAGCTGCGGTCACCGCAGTGACCATTGTGAACCTGGGGCCGCTGGGGTGGGGTCACTGGGGCCCTGCGGAGATGTCCCTGTAGGGCCACTGCTGGAGGCTTGGGCCTCCCGCTGCCCCTGCCCTGGCGAGAGTGGGAGGATGGGCATGAATTTGGGCCCCACATCTGGGGGGCGACCAGATCCCCCAGCCTGCTACAGCGGCCTTTGAGCCTTCCCCGCAGCTGTACCAGCCGGGCTCTGACGGCCGGGGGAAAGGATGAAGACCGGCCCTGCGTGCGGGGGGGGGGGGGGGCGGACAGGCCGGGCAGGGGGAGGTCAATCCAGGCGGCAGCCTCTCCCCGACCCGGAAGACTCCAAAGGGGCTGGACTGCAACTCCCATCATCCCCCCCCCGAGCCCTCGGGCAGGTTCCGCCTCCCTCAGCGGGATCACGGCGGGCATTCCCCCCGGCAGCTCCGGCGGGGTGGGGGGGCGATGGGAGTTGCAGCGCAGCCCCGCCCGGAGGGAGGCGGAACCATCGGGCCTCGCAGGACGGGAAGGTTCCGCTGCGGGTGTGGTTCCCGGGCCGGACACCTTTGGGCAGCACACCGGGCGAGTTCCTCACTCCGGCACCATTCCCGGTGAGTGGGAGCCGTCGGCGAGGCCCTGAAATTGGGTGGGGGGCGCGGAAGAAGCAGGTCCGCCTCCCGCGGGGCCGGAGAAGGCCGGGCCGCGTGCCGCCGCCGCCAGGTGAAGAGGTTCGGGGGCGAGCCCTGCGCGTACGGCCGGGCCCCCGCCCGCCCGCCCCGGGACGCCTGGAGGCCGCCCGCCCCCGCGCATCTCTTGCGGAGCCGGCCTCGCCGCCCTGACGCGCCCTCCCAGCGCCCCGCGGGGCCCGTGGCCAGACCCGAGGAGGCCTCCCGGGCGGGAGCGCTCGGCCGGCCTGGCAGGGCGGCCCGGGACCCGCGAGGGCCCTGCTCCGTGAGGGAGCTGCGTGGAGTCGGAGAGCGGAGTCGGGAGGGCCCGTAGGCCGCCGAGTCCCGCCCCCCTCGACGCAGGCTCCCCTCCTGGCTCCCGGCTCCGGGGTGGGCGAGCCCGAAGCCCGGGGGCTCCGCTGCCCGCTGCTCTTCCTGGTGTCTAGCCAGGCCGGTCTCCCCGCAGCTTGAGCCCGGGATGCCTCGTCCTGCGCTCTGGGGCGGTCGAGAAGGGATCCCGGCCTTCCTCTGTGTGACAGCCTTTCAAGTACTTGTAGATGGCTGTCGCATCGCCCCTCAGACTGCTCTTTTCCAGGCTAAACATGCCCAGTTCGTTCACTCTCTCTTCACCGAAGCCTTCTTGTTGCCCTGCTCTGAAGACTTTCCGCCTTGTCTCTGTCTTTTCTGAAGCGTGGTGCCCAGAACTGGACAGAGTACTAAGGATGGGACCTAACTAGTGCTGAATAGCGAGGAACCAGTACCTCGCTTGATTTGGAAGCTATATTTCTGTTAATCACATTGTTGTCTCATATTCAGCTTGTGAGCTACAATAATTCTAAGGTCCTTCCTACTTGCAGTATTATTCAGTCAAGTATTCCCTGTCTTATAACTGCATTCGGGTTCATTTTCCTAGGTGCAGAACTTGGCATTTGTCCCTCCTGAATTTCATTCTCTTGCTTTCAACCAGTACTCCAGCTTGTCAAGCTCACTCTAAGTTTTATTTCTGTCTTCCGGGGCATTAGTTTTCCCCCAGTTTTGTATCATCCACAAATCTGATAAGTCAATACACTTCCTTGTCCAAGTCATTAATAAAAATGTTGCAGAGCACTGGGCCCAGGACTGAACCCCACTTGGTCTCTTTCCCTGTCTGAGAAGGTGCCATTGAGAAATATTCTCTGAGTCCAAATCTGTAACCAACTATTGATCCACCTGAGAGCTGTTCCATCTGTTTCCTTTTATCTATCCTGAATCTCTCATCCTTCAGCTGCATAGGGCTATCTCATTGGATATTCATCAGAGAGGGAGAGAGAGAGAGAGAGAGAAATAAATATATTATTATCATTATTATTATTATTATTATTATTATTATAACATTTCTATGCCGCCCCTTGCCGAAGCCTCGGGGCGGCTTACAACACAATAAAATACATTGAAATACAATAGAACATAATAAATTACCACTAAATACAAAAATACAAAAAATACACTGAGTTACAAACATAATAATATAAAATTAAAATTATCAGTATAAAATAAGTAAATAAATAATATAGGAGGAGAAAAGAGAAGGAAGAAGAAGTTGCCCTGGCCAGATCATATGTTTTAACAATTAAAATGATGTTTAAATAAAAAGGTCTTTACCTGGTGCAGAAAAACCAGTAACGACGGTGCCAGGCAGACCTCTTTGGGGAGTGAATTCCATAGGTTGGGCACCACCGCAGAGAAAGCCCTCCTCCGAGTACTTACTCTCCTAATTTCTTTCATGGAGGGTTCCCGGAGAAGGGACTCTCCCACAGATCTCAAAGGGCGGTCGGGCATATACGGACGTAAGTGCTCGTTCAGGTAGCCGGGACCCAAGCCGTTTAGGGCTTTATAGGTCATAATCAACACCTTGAATTGGGCCCGGGCTTCAATGGGAAGCCAGTGAAGCTGATGGAGGACTGGAGTCATGTGAGCATAACACCCCGTCCCCGTCAGCAACCTGGCAGCTCTATTTTGCACCAATTGAAGTGTTCGGACCGTCTTCAGGGGAAGCCCCACATAAAGCACATTACAGAAGTCTAGGCGGAAAGTCACCAGCGCGTGTGTCACCGTCACCAGGCAGTCGTACTCCGGGTAGGGGCGCAGCTGATTAATCAAATATATCTGTCCTCACTTTTTCCACACCAAACAGAATTCTGTACACTTCTGCCATATCTTTCCTCCCTTGTCTTTTTTTAAGCTAAACAGACCTCTCCTAGTAGAAGAGTTACCTGAGCCCCACAATTATTTGAATTACCCTTTTCTGTTTTTGCATCCGTGTTGTTGGTATTTTAGCACCAAGGAATTTCATGTTTCCAGAATGTTGAGGAACAGGTAAAGGCCAGCAAAACATTTGTTTAAAGTTTGGGTGTAGCCCTGACGTGTAGATAAAATTCCACTGCCCTCTTCTCCCCCCAAGATGTAGATGGTACTAGATTTCTGCTCGCTCTTTCTCATGATTCAGTACTCAGGATGGACTTTGACAACACCAGAGGGCAGTGTTCCCCAGGAAATTGTAGCTGACCTGTAACTCCGCCGCCTCAAAGTGCATCATTGCCAGTCATTTTCTTTAGAAGGAAGTCGGCCTGGATGTGTAACTGGGCTTTCTGGAGTTCTCCCGTTTCTAAAAGCTCTCTTTGATATACAGATCATTTTAAAAGATATTTCCTTTTCTGCCTTTCCTCCTCCTCACCCTCCCACCTGTTTTTCCAATTTCAGTACTGTGGGCCTTTTAGGGCACAATCCTATGCATGTCAGCGCATACCTTCCTGTCCAACCTTGGACAGGCTTGTGCCTTTCATAGTACAAATATAAGTGACAATCAGCATTGATGTAAGGCAGCTTCCCCCAGCCTGGTGCCCTGAGAGGTCTTGCATGTCTGGCTGGAGGATCCCGGTCATCCAACAGATCGGGAGGGCCCGGATTGAGGAAGCTGAAACAATGCTTCTCCAAAGTTCAAAGCACTTTGCAGGCAGAATTTCACTACATTTATTAGATTTCTGTACTGCCCAACAGCTGATGCTCTCTGCATGGGTTATGAAGATTAAAACGGTAAAAGTGCCTTCTAAAAGTATATGCATTTAGATGCACAGCACACAGGGTGACATATTGCTAAAACGTTGTAGCCATTTCTCTTCCAGTGAACATGTGCTTTCCACATTTCTGTCTCCAGCGATGAGAATGAGTGACTTGACCTTTCTCTTGGTGTGTGTGTGTCCCTCTTTCCCACTCTGGTTTTTGTTAAAACGAACTAGCCAAGGTTTTCAAGGCCTACAGAAGTAGAGCAGCCTATGAATCTTTGCTTTAGTCAGCACTGCTTCTCAGAAAAGAGGTGTCTGGAGAAAGTAGGGGAAATGGTGGGTTATTTGCTGCACATTACTGGTCCATTTTGTGAAGTAACTGGAGGCTTTTCTGGTTTTCCAGCTGTGCACAGAGCGAGGACCGTTTTGGAACAGGATGCTGGAGACCTTGCATGAAAAGGTGAGGGTGCTCATGCGGTGACTGCACCTGCCCCCGTCTCCCCCATACCTGGAATTCTGTGTTTTAATGGGTTTCTTAATGACACCAGAATTTTCATAATGATGGGGGGGGGAACTGTTAGAGCAGGGACAGGAAACATATGGCCCTCTAGTTGTGGGACTGCAGCTCCAGTCCGCCCTAGCCAGTGGTCAAGGATGATGGGAGTTGCAATCCCACAACATCTGGAAGGCAGCACCCCCACCGCAGTGTTAGCGAAGTTGCGACTGTTGCGAAAGTTGCCTTAGCTGCTGTCGTCTGGCTGCCCAGGATTCCGCAGCCTATCTTTCCGCTGTGGAGGGCTAGAAACTTGCTGCTGCGTGTGTGTTTTACTCAGAAGCCAAATTGTCGGCAAGCTGAACTCTGCAGCCTCGACCACGTCTGGCGGAGCTTTTGGGCCTTTCCTTTCCGCAGTCCCACAGGACTGTGGCACACGTGCGACCCTGAGGGTGTGCGGCTGGGTGTTCGCATGCGCCATTGTTTCCTTTCCCTCTTTCTTCTTTGTCCCTGGGATGCCCCGAGCCAGTTTGGTGCCTGAGACAGAAAATCCAGATGTGGTTTTACGCCCTTCCCCCCTCAAGAGTGACTAGTGGAGTGCTAGCAAATCGCTGCTCTTTCACGGGGCTCCAAAGCTCTGCCGGCTTGCAGGGTGGGGGCTGCCTCAGCTTTTCCTCGGCCAGGCAATCACCCTGAAGCAATTATGGAACTTGCCAGAGTCTCCCAAGTCTGCTCGGTGCGTTTGCACTTGTGCACCTCTGGAAGACACCAGGATGGGTTGAGGGGCAGACAGTGAAAGGGTGCCAAGCCCAAGGCACATGGCAGCCAGGCTTTTCCAGCAAAAGGAACTTGTGCACCTAAGCACAAGAGCCCTCCCTCAACCAACTCACTCTCTCTCTCTCTCTCTCTCTCTCTCTCTGTGTGCGCACGCACGCACGCACACTCTCTTTCCCCTCCCAAGTGTTTCTGCTTCTCTCCCTCTTCTGTCCCCCCCCCATCTCCCACCCTCCCCGTCGCACACAGCCAAGTGCTGAACAATGCAGATGGGAAAAAGAGCCTTCTGGCCAATTCCTGGAACGGTTCTTAACAAGACTGCCGTGGCATCCCGGGGCACTCTGGGGAGATGAGTCTGGAATCTTTATTAGACCAGACTTTAAAAATGCAAAACATTTCAGACTGGCTGGTGGGTCTTTCCCCTCCACGCACACTGAAGTCTCCCCTCTCAGTGTGCAACACAAAGAGCTGCCAGGTTTCTGGCCTGCACAGCAGAAATACTGAACCGACTGCTGAGTCCGTGTGGGGCAGGGAGAAGAGCGTGATCCGTTTCTCACTCTCCAGATTCACGGATGCCTTTAAGTGCCTTTCAGTCGCATGCATTTTATAATTACTTTCCGAGCATCCATAGCCCAAAGTAGCTTTACAAAGCTCCTGGCCAGAGATTCACAAGCAGGCTGTGAGGGTACCAGGCAGACATTCGGCAGCTTCTGCGTTTCCCATCACGGTGCCCCTTCCAGCCTTCAAGAAAGATTGGAAGGGAAAGCAGGGGAGCTCCCCCTAGACTCCGGGGCCAGGGAGGGCTTGTTTGGATAGCCGAGGATGGCTGCCGTGCGCCCCGGTCCTCCCCAGAGCACTCGGCAGGCCAGGCATTCGGCATAGACATCCTTTGCTTATCGGGGATGATGTGGTCTCCGGCAGAGCCCGTGCGCAGTCCCTGCCTTCTCTGTCTCCTCTGGGAAAGGGTGGGGACATCTCTTGGCACGCTTGGGTGCAGATTGGCGTTCCTGGTGCAGGAAAGCAGGCCTCTGTGCCCTCCCCCCGCTCATGGCCTGTGGTGCTCCTTGGTAGCTGCAGCACCTTTGCCTTCCTCACAGCGGCCTGATGGATCCTTGCCGGATCCTGTAGCGCAGTCGTTCTGAATGACCAGTGGGTATATAACGGGAAATGCCTGTCCAAGATAAGCTTTAAAAGTCAGTGAGATTTAAAAGCGCGACACCTTAGCTGGATTCTTCCCATCGTTGTGCAGCACAACACACACACACACACACTCTTTTACTAATATGGAGTCCAGTTTGTTTTACATCGCCCGTACAGCTATACCAAAAGCACGGATGTCTCTAATGTAGCCTTCTTACGTGGGCTACTGTGCCCAAAGTCGTCACCTGCGTTTTCTGCAAGGGTGGCTGCAATGGGAGAAGAACCGTGTGTGTTCAGTCTCCAGCCTTCATGCTTTCCGCAGTGCCATGGTTGTCTGGCAGTGCGGTTTGCCCTGTAGAGGGTGCTGGGCATCCAGCTTCCGTGGCTGGGTGTTCCGTGCCTGGCGTGGCCCTGGCCTGTTGTCCAGCGTGTGGCATTTGCACGCAGAAGGGCTCAGGCAGGGCTGAAGAGCCGCTGCTGCCCAGCAGTCGGCGGCAACAGTGCTGGGCTAGGGGAGCCCAGTGCCTGGCTTGGAACAGAGCCGCTTCCTAAGTTCATATGTAATGTGCAGTTTCCTTTGTTCTGAGGGGGACTGTGGTTCAGTGGCAGAGCCCCTGCTCTGCACACGCAAGACCCCTCTGCCCCCAGGCGGAGCTGGGAAGCAGAGAACCCTCCCCCTGTCCCGACGAAGGCTGTGGCAGCCCATCCCCTGCCCATCCCAGGCAGCTTTCCATGGAGCATCCCTTCTCTCTCTGCTCCCAGGCGATGCACGGATCTCCCCAGAGGGCTTGGCTTGCCAGCAGAGGGGGCCCTGGATCCACCGATGCCCGCTCTGGCTGCCTTTCAGGGCAGCAGGGGGCGGGCGCAGGAGCCGGTGGGCCTGTGCGGGGGCACCTCCCTGCCCCTGCCCAGGCACTGCACAGGGTGGCTCCTGGACGTGTGGGAGCATCCCTCCCTCGGCAGCATGCCGGCTGCCTCTCTCGCTTTGCTCCAGGGCCCATTTCCCAGGCAGACGTGCCCACGGACTGGGGGAATCTGCTGGGAGAAACCAGCGGGCTCTGGACAGGTGAGGCACAGCCCCTGTAAGAGGGCAAAGATCGTCTTGCCGGATCAGCCCGAGGCGGGGATTCTGCTTCCAGGGGCCCATGAGCTGGGGGCAGGCAGGTCTGCCCTCGCAGTTTGGTGCAGGTGGCCGGTGCTGCCCGGGCCCTGGCACCAAGCGCTGGGATTCGCATCGCCCTCCGTCTCCTCCTGCTCCGCGGCACTGGTGGAGAATCGGCTGACTGGTTTTGCTGCCTTTCCTTTTTGCAAGAGAAATGGCGTGAAGGGTAACAAGCATCAACATCCAGATGATCAGAATCTTAACACGAAACATTTATCTTTTCCATCCATTTTTAACAATTGACTTTAAGATGGTTTGATCCATTTTTAAGGGATTTAGTAGATCATTAATGGTTGTCCATCTCACCTGGACATGATTTAGAGTAATCATTGTAAAATTATTACTAATTATTATAACATCTGGCTTCTGTACCCTGTGGTGGGGAGAGGCCACAGGGAGGGTGTGGAGGCCCGGCTGCCTTGGGGGTCATGCCGCCATCATTCCGAGGTGGGTTGCTCTTGGCCCCAGAGGCGCCATTCCTCGAGTGACATGCCTGATGGGACGCAGAGGCCCTGCTGGGCCTTGTCCAAAGACCCGTCTTGCCCTGCCTGACGCGTTCCGCCACAACCCAGCAGGTGCCTCCGGGAAGCCCGCAAATGGGATATGAAGCACCCCCCACTCTTCCCCCAGTGCCGCTTCTTCCCAGGAACTGGTCCTCTGTGGGCTCTGAGCGCGCAAGTCCCCGCTTTGGTTCCCTTCCTCTCCACAGAAGCTGCTCCAGAGCAAGAAGGACAACAGAACTGCTGTCTGTTCTCGGGCAGCGGCAGGGGGAAGGGGCTTCCCCTGCCACCTCGGAGGAAGGTGGGACTTTCCACACGCCAAACGGGTTCTGCCCCAGAGCTGCGTGTGCACAGCTGGCTGCAGAGCTCAGGGGTGTTTTCTGTCTCAACGTTTTCTGTCATGGCGGCTCACGGCCACTAAAGAGCTCTTTTCCTTTCCCACAATTTGTCTAGCCCTGTTTTACAGCCACCGGAGTCTGGGGATGTTGCCGAGTCTCGTGGCGGTGACTTCCTTCAGTCAGCTGTGCTTCGCTGGAACAATTCTGTCCTTGTCCTCCCCTGAACCTGAGGCCCAGAGTTTCCAGGAGTGACCCCAAGCTCCTGGCCAAGGAGAGAGACGGGGACCTTGCTTCCACCCAGCGAGGGCTGTGTCCATGCCCCTGTGATTTGCAGCGAGTGAGACAGTGATGCTCTTTGCTCTTCTTTCAGAACCAAGCCACCGCTTCCGCTGCTAGCCGTGGAGAGATGCTGGCAGACAGCTGCCCGAGGGCCGGCGCGAATGGTGAGGCCCTTGTCTTCGCAGCCCGTCTCCTGCTGCATATTTCTCTCTCTCTTGTGCAGTCTTCTGTGCCTGTTTCGAAAATGAGCATTACTGCAGGATTCTCCCTCCTTGCAAAGCGCAGCGCTTTGTAGATGAAGCCCCCTGTGCAGGGCTGGGGAGGGGCGGGGAGCGCTGCCGTGCCTGACCCAATGCAGAGGGCCGGGTTGCCCTTCTCTGTGGGCAGCGGGAACTTGAAGGGCGACCGAGTTAATCAGGCAGGAGCATTAGCGGCAGCTTTCTAAACCGACTCCATTTTTGGTCCCAGGACTTGGAAAGGCTGAAAACAGCCATCCCCCACACGGAGCCATCTGCTCAGTGCAGACATGCTTGTTCCGAAAACGGCACACGCACCCTCTTAAAACCAGGCGTGTGTCAAGGTGCTTTTGACTTACCTGCACGGTCATGATCAGCTGGCCAGATCCACCCTCTCCCTTGACTGTGATTTCTTGAGCTGCATGTGTGTTACAGAGATACCCGCAGGCCCACAGAGAAGCACCGCGGGTGTTTGTGTTCGGCCCCGGCCTTTAGAAACAACAGCACCACGCCAGCGAGCCCTTCCTTCCTGCATTTCTGAGAAGCAGGGAGGGGCGTGTGCCTGTGAGAATGCCTTGAGCTGCTTGGCGCTGGCAGAGGAGGGGCGACCGCAGAAAGCGAGAGGAGCTGCCAGTCCCGTTGCTGCAGCCAGGCGATAGTTCCCAGTCCCGGGGCCTCCCAGGAGGAGCTGCCTCCCCGCTGCCCAGCAGGGGCCACCGTGCCGCTCTCACGCTGCGCGCGCTCTGGACCCGTGGGAAGAGGCAGAGCGAGACCTGTGCCCCAGGCCGCTCGAGCGCGTGGGATGAGGCTCCTGCGGGCTCCCCTGCCGAGGCGCCAGGCCAGCGAGGAATGAAGCACGGCGTGTGCTGGGCTGATGTACCCCCCAGTCTTTGTTCAGAGAACGAGTCGTGGGGCGGCAGCAGGGGCACAAGGCTGGCTGCAGGGGGCACAGTCAGGTGTGCTGGCGGGGCGCCTTCTGGTGAGGCGCTGCTTTGTGTGCTCGCAAGACCTGGCTGGTGGTCTTGAGCTGCCCCCCCCCATGCCTCCTTAGCAGGAAGAGAGGCCTGCTGTGCCCTCCAAGCCCTGGCTGCTGTGGCCGGCGGGGGCGCGCTGGGCATCGCGGGCCCTTTGTACGCCCGAACAGGCCTAGGGCTGCAGCTTCCATTGTTCTCTCTGCCTTTCTTTGTGGCCGGGTGCTCCCTTTGGATTTCTGGCCTCAGGCGTCCAGATCAGCCCTGCTCCAGTGGAAGGCCGGGGCCAGAGCATTTCCTGCGACTCCCCCACATCACTCCGTCTCAGAAACTAGATGGGCCCGGCTGGGAACCGCACGCCGGTGGTCAGCCCCTGCGCACATCGGCTGCGCCCTAGAACTGTCACTGTGGAGGGTGGAGCGGGAGGGGAGAGGAACCTACGTAGAACATTTGTGATTCTGTCAGAAGGCACCCAAGCATAAGTCACGGGCCCTGCTGCGGAGTTTCCAGCAGAGGGGAGGAAAGTTCTCCGGACACAATAACTCGAATCAGAGTCTCCCTCCTTGGCGGCAGGTCCCCGTTCATTCTCGGACACAGGGAGTGGGGAGAGCGGCAGGGGCAGCCGGACTGGTCGCGCCCGCCGTGTGCCGTTGCGGAGGCCTCTGGCTGGGGTCCGCCGGAGACGGAGCCCTGGGCCAGAGGCCCACTCGCTGTGCCGCAGCACTGATGGCCTTGCCTTGCGGTTCGGTCTGTGGAGTCTAGCAGGCCGCTGCGTTTGCAGCTTGAGAAGTCGTGGCAGAGGAGCAGGGCTTGAGGCTTTCCAAATGCCCTGGGCGGTTCGCTCCATCCCCAGCCCGACGAGGCAGCGGGCCTTCCACCAGCTGTAATTACTTAAGGACAGCTTTGGCAGAGTGCTCGGGTTTTTCCTTTTGTCTCTCCGGCCTCCTCATTTGACCGACCAGAACTTTTGCCCCCTCTTGCCTTTCTCTGTCCGGCTGCCCTCCTTGCATCAAAGTCCCAATTTGGCTGCTTCTGAGACAAACACCAGATTTGCTGGGATGGCGAACATGAGACTCTGCGGCAGCTCGCTTCCTTGGGTTAAAGGCCTGGGAGCCTGGGCCCTGTCAGCCTGCCAAGCTGAAGACAACGACTCTGTTTCCGTTTTCTCCCTTTGATTACTGATTCAAGTATGGGTCCCGAGTGGGCAGTCGAACGCCGAGTTCAGACAGACAAGGAGCTGCAGACTTGTGTGAACTGCTCTCTTCTTTTGGCGTGTCCGCAAGCGTCGGGATCTGTTTTCATAATTTCCACGGGCCCCTTGGACCTAGCCTGCATGCTGCTGAGGCGGGAGTCCAGACTCTGCCCGGCGCCATGGGGCTGCAGTCCCGGCGGCTTTCCTCAGGTGGAACCGAGGCCCATTGGCATCCTTTCGGTGCCTCGCACCAAGGAGCATCGCCGGAGGAGCCCCCACGGCTTCTGCCACGAGCGAGCCGGCATAGCAAATGTTTCATCTCGCAGCTGTTCCGGTTATTAACCAGCAGCCTCAAGCAACGCGCACTTGGCCACGTTTGCGTGCTGGATGGGCAGTGGGATAGGACAGAAAACTGTGTCAGCGCTCCGTGTCAGAAAACCGTCAAAAATATTGGCTTCGCCGCTGCCCTGGGCATGTCCTGTGGCGTGTGCCACCAAAGCTTCCCTGCCTCTCAGAAGGAGGGGAGGCATCTGCATCCTAAGCGCTTCAACCTGGCACCTGTGGCCCCGATCCGCATTTCCCACAAAGGCTGATTTAGTGGATTGGCTTCGGTCTGACCAGCTTCCTGCTTTTGGCAGCAGCCTTCCGCAGCTTGGCACCCTATGGGTATCAGAGCCAGATCTCCCCGCATGCCTACAGCCAGTTTATGGGAGTTGCTGCCCAGTGCATCAGAAAGCACCAGGCCGGGGAGGCTGGTATACACAGGGGCAGCCGCCCTCTCCCTTTTGGGCCCCTCTGGAGATGCCAGGGCTTGAACCCGGGAGCATTCACACACCAGGCCGCGACTGCCGCTGAGCGGCGCTCCCCTGCTTGCAGGGAAGCTACCTGTGGATATGTGAACAGCGGTTCCTTGGGAAAAAAGGCTGCAACCTCGGCTTCCTGTGGCAGCTGGGCCAGAGGCCGCAGGAGAGCCCCCCCACCCCCACTTCCATTTGCGCAACTTCTGACCAGCACACATCCCAAACAAGTGTTAAGCTTCCTGCTGGATTGACATGAGAAAAACAGGATGCCGGGAGGTGTTTATTGGAACGAGCGTGATAAGGAGAAGAAAGGCGTTCCTCAAAGAACCCGGGAGGTTTGGTCGCTGCGCAGCCCTGCTCGGCAGGGGAGGCAAGAGTGAAAGAGAGGAAGGGCGGCCTGTTGAACTGTCCAAGCCGCGTGTGAGGAGCGCCAGGCGCCGCTGGCGGGCAGATGCAGTGCTTGGGCCCCTCCTGAGCTCAGCTGCAGGCTGCTGCTTTCCTCTGTCCCAAAGGCTGGGCTTGCTTAGCCAGGCAGGCCCAGGGACCCTCGGGAGCAACAGCTGCACAGGGCCGGCCAAGTCTAGGAGGCTCTGGACTTCTGCGGTGCCTGAAGTCACACCTGGTGGGAACGCTGGAGAGGATCCTCCTCCAGTAGAGCCACGGCGCGTGCTGCCCGAGAATGCCCTCTGCCCCTCCGCCTCCACGCAGTTTGGGCTTGGTGAACTGCTGCATCCTTCCAAGCCAGGCCAGGGGGTTCCTCTCCTGCTCCTTTTTTAGGGTGGGGGCAGAGGGCCGTCGTGGTGGCAGGCTGGCTTCTGTTACTGTCAGAGTGGGACTGAATGTCACTGCTGTTGTCCTCATGCGGCCTTTGAACATGTCAAAGCAGTTAGAAAAGCAGTTAAATTTGGACTGAACTGGAAAGGCCCTGGAAAGTCCAGGATGGCTAGAAGCGCTGGCTGGTGCTAGGAAGGCCCAGGGATGGCTGACCCTGGAAGCAGCGTGCACAGACCGGAGGGACTCAGGCCCTGCCCCCTGTTCGGGCCCGAGAGGCTGAGGCAGAGGCCTTGGGGCCAGCAGGGCGGGAAGCACCCACACGTCCCGAGACTAGGGAGCCCCGACAGATTTTGCCCATTTACTTTATTTCCTTCGTTTAATTTTCACTGTTGTCCCGGCCCCCCGGCCATTTCCCCTTCTTTCCAGAGAAGGACCCACTGCTGCAAAATATCCAGTCTCTCTGGGCAAAGAAGAACATGGAGAAGGTGAGGCCAGGGCTGGAGACCCCTGAAGACCCCTGGGATGAACCAGATGGGCTGGCGGGGAATGGGTGCTGACCCTCGACCAGTATTCACTCCTGTGACCTTGCAGAATCCTGAGGCCCCGACCAGGGTCAGGAAGAAGGTCGGGCGTGGCTGGGGGGCTGCAGAGGACCCACCCCCAGCAGGCCCCCCGACAGGAGCCCCCCGGAGTAGCTCCTTTCCTGGGGGCTCTTGGAGGCCCTTTCAAAGGGCTGCCAGAGGAAGATGGTGTGTGTATTTTTTTGCTGCCAACTTTAACACACCTGTGCCAAAGAAGAGGTCAATTCTAAACCTGCAAAAGAGTAAATAGAGCGTCTTTGTGTACTTTCCCTTATTTTGTTTCCCAAAAGGTATTTGCATAGCATTGGGCTAGGAACTGGGATGTGTGGAGCGTGCTTTCCCCTCTAAGCATGCTCTCTGTCTCCCTCATGAGCTCCACAGAGCACCTTCCCTGCCTCTGAGAGTCGTGCAGCCCCTCCTCAGTGTATCTCCATCTTCCTGAGGTGGAGCAAGGAATGCGTATCCCTCCCAGAATTGCCGTACCAACTCCGGCCAGCACCGCCAGCCGTGAGGGCCGGTGGGATTTCCAGGGCACCAGGCTGGGGAAGGCTGGGCTGAAGCCTTTGTTGCTAAAGTGTAGAGTCCCAGGAAGTGGACTTCTAGGTAGTGGCCCCAGGGGTCCGTGGCAGCCTGGCGGGCGCGGTCATCAAGCACGCATGTCTGTGTTTCCGCAGCTCCGGGAGGAAATGCGCTTGGGCCTGGAGGCCCTTGAAGACCCTCTGGCGTGGCTCCTGGACGTGCTGGAGGGCACCGGAGACTGGCAGAGGAAAGGGCAAAGCCTGGCATCCCACCTGGTCCATGAAGTGCACCTCTGGACCAAGAGGCACCCTGAGAGCCAGCCGGTGAGGCTGGGGGATACACCCCTGGGTGGGGTGGCCCTCAGGATGGGTCCCCATCATGGCTGCTGCTGCTCCGGCCCGGAGGAAGGGTGCAGCTCAGCAGCAGAGTCACACCGTGCACACCGAAGGTCCCGGGGGCAACCCCAGCTGGGGGCTGCAGGCAAGAGGCCAGACCCCCTGCTCCATCCCGGGCATGCCTGTGAGGCCGAGGCTCTCCCCAGCGTGCTCCCCGCGGTGGGGCAGCTGTTAGCTAGAGGGGGCCAGCTGCCTGGCGAGGGCATCGGAGGACGGGAGCTGCTCGCATGTCCAAGCCAGCGACCCGCCTCCACCTCTCGGCGGTCGTAAGGGCCAGGGTCTGGCTCCTCCTCTGGCCCACCGCAACGACCTGGGCAGGGAAGCGGGCTAGCTTCTTAGCACTGACCTGAGAGCACCCAGCCTGTCTGTCCCACCTCGTGCTGGTAGCTGCCAGAGTAAATGAACTGCTCGCCTCTGGCAGTAGCAGCTCTGCATCCCCGTCCGTCTAGGCCAGCATCCCATGTCCAGGACAGGCCAGCCAGCTTCCTCCAACAAGCTCACTAGCCTCCCCTGGTTGCCGAAGCCCCTGCATCTGCTAGGACTCTTTTCAAAATGCCAGCTGAATTAGCGGCCGCTAAGAGGTTTGCTGACAGTGGGCTCCCACGCAGAATTTTGTGCGAAACAACGGGAGAGGAGGTGGGGCCTCGTTGGAAGCAGAGTAGGACGAGCAGGGTGAGGTCGTGGGTTTGCGCTTCCTGAGGGTCAGTCGACCTGTAGTGAAGGAACGGGTGCCTGAGCAGCGCGGCTTCGCTCAGCCATGTGCAGCAGAATTCTGACTCTCTCTCACACTGATTTCTCAGTCTGGCCTGAAGTTGAAGAAACTCCAGGCCCGTGTCTTCCCTGTGCTCGCCCAGTGCCACGGGAACTTGCTGGGCCCTCTGATCGGCACCTATCAGCTCCATGCCGCGGACCGCCAGCACCTTCTAGGCTACGTCAGCCTCCTCTTCCACAAGGGCAAGTTTAAAGAGGTGGGTGTCTCCGTGTCGACAGCGCTGTCGATTGTTTCCCGTGGAATGGATAAACCCGCCGATAATACTTTGCTGTGCCATACAAGCAGTATAAAGACCCACGTGGAGTCCTGTGTTGCTGGATGGGTAGGAAGGGCGCTCTGTCGCTCCAGGCGGTTCTCTGCCTGGCCGGAGGTCATTTTCTTGCTTGGGCACAAAGCTTGGGCACAGCTGCCTTGTCTTGCGACGTTGGCCCTGCAATCCTTCTCCCACGGGAGATCCCGCCTCGGCTGGGGCTGCCACCCGAGTTGCGCCCCTGCTGCGCTGCAGGCCAAGGGCCATGTGAGTGGCCTCCTCGGCCGCAGGAGGAACCAGCCCTTTCCCGCCCGGGAATGTGGGCATGCGGTGCCCACCACCTTTGCACGTGGCCGAACTGCCGTCGGCCCACGGCTCCTCCTCCACGGACCAGCCTCACCCCTTTGAGAGCTGAGGCAGTGGCTCTCCTTGCCTCTCCTCCTGGCGGGTTCCATCCTGTGGCGCAGCGCTGTGGGAACGAGCCCGTCCACCCGCCCTGAATCTCCTGCCCGCTTGTGCCACTGGGTGGCACCAAGTTCTGAGATGATGCGAACATACAGGGGAGGGAAGCAGCTCAAACAGTTGCAACGAATTCCGTAAGGGGCCAATCCTGTGCACATTTAGACAGAAAAACAGCCCGAACTCCCAGCATTCTCCAGTCAGCAGAGCTTGCCTTCTTCCAATTCAGTCAACACCAGAAGCAGGGTGGAAAACTAGCCCTGGAACTGTGGAATGGTTCAAAGGGGCCCGGCAGCCATCTTGGTTTTGTCAGGAATAATTTTTTACCGCAGAAGCAAAGGCTGCCCGTTCCCCAGGCAAGACCCCGTGTGGTTCTGGGTGTTGAGGTCCAGCCACGGGTGTGCCCGGAGCCTGGGGGTGGGTATGTGGGGGAAATAAGCACGCCAGGCTTAGAGACAGGTGGGGGCACCTTTTATTGTATCCAAACCACCTCAGGCCCACGAGGTGCCATTCTCAGCGAAAAGTGGACGTCCAGAGGCATGTGAATCTAAAGTTTCGCCTGCCCAGAGGCCTTCCCCCATGTGCTTCATCTTCATGAATGGTTTCTGAAGGAACCAAGATGGCTGCCGGTGGGTCCCCTTTTTCCCCCTTTTTGGAACAATGCCGGAATTGAATAGACTTTGAGGCTAACATAGCAGCAGTGCTGCCTCCCCCCCCCCCCCCGCCCCCGGGCCGGGGCTGTGCTTCAGAAAGAATGAGGGGCTAGGCAGAAGGCAGCGTAGGGTTTCATCCACATCTTATGTTACACTTCAGCCTTTCAAAGGGTGTCTGGTCCCACTTGAATGGGCCTCTCTCGCGCTCCCCAGTGTGAGGATGGGGCGGACAAAGGGCACTCTTGTCACCGGCCGGCCCCTCTGGGGAAGAAAAGCCATTGTCATGTGAACAGGAGCAGTCTGGCGTGCTTCAGTGCCCCCGTGATACCGCTAAGTCCCCCTCTGCACAGCACATTGAAGGCCCTGTCAGCTTTGATTAGCGGGGTCTCATGACTTAATGTGCCACGATATTTCATGTCGGAGGGGTGGCAGCCGCCTCTGGGCGGCATGAATGCCCTCCATTGTCCATTGAATTATTTTATTTACATTTTTTAAACAGCTTATAAAGGTAAAAAAAGATAACAGCTCTGTTTTTTAAAGAAGAATCCCCCCCACCTCCCCGTTCATCCTGCTTTGGGGTTTTTTGGGAAAGAGCGAGTGCTTTGTGGGTTGTATGGAGCCATACGTGGTTTTTAACACTGGCTTCAAAAGTTCTGTTCTTGTTTAATAGCTGTATATTAAATTCTAAACAGGTGGTAGCAAGAGATGGGGCGAGGAGGGAGCACCGGACATGGCCTGCTTGCCTCCTGGCAGAAGCCTGCCCCGCCATGGCTTCTGCTTCACACTCCCCGGCCTGGGAAAATCAGAGTAACTCGTTTTTGCAAAGACGTTTGGGTTTAGGAGAGGCATGCTTCCCGTGTTCTTTTCGTTCAAGCTTTAGATGCATTTTCAGCTTTAGAACTGTGGACAGGTAGGGTGCCTGCGCGCATGCGTGCGTGCGTGTGCGAGAGAGAGAAAGAGTGTGCCCAGTGCGGAAGCAAAAGGTGTGACAGTGTGCACAGGGCAACCAGGCAGTTTCTGTTCCAAACCCTGATTAAGATGGATCTGCATAATCTGTTTCATTCAGGAGCGCCCGGGGCTCTTCGGACTCTCCCCGCTCATGCACCTTTCCCAGGAAGGGGACGTTGGCCACCCGCCTGTAGTTATGATCATCCTCTAGGTCCCGGTTAGGCTTTTCGGGAGCAGCTTAATGACGGCCTCTTTTAGAGAGGCTGGCAGCATGCCCTCTTGGAAGGAGGCATTTACAGCCTCCCTGTAAGTCTGTAAGTAGCGATCCCTTCCTGAGTTCTTGTAACAAGCCATGGGGGGCAAGGATCGAACGCCAGTGGTGGACTGGACATGGCCAGGCCCCTTGTCCACATCCTCGGCCTCAGTAACTGAAGCTCCCCAAGAAGACTGGGCCAGACGGGGCTCTGGATGCCTCTGCAAGAGGAACTGTGTTCATCGTGGCATCCAGTTCATGACCAGTCTGAGCAACTAAATCCTCACCGTGCTGTGGGCCCGCGTGTTGCCCCGGGGCCGCTCTCCAGGACCCAAGACAGCCGCCTCAGTCTGATGTCGCTCCCGGTTCTCCATCGCAAGCCTTTCCTGACTTTTCTGTGTTTCAGGCAGCCACTTTAAGCATAAAACTGAAGCTGCAGCCAGACCTGGAGTTTGAAAAGGTAAATTTGTGCAAAATGGTGCAAAACACGAGTCTGAAGCGCTGCCCTTTGCTCACTTGGCTTTCTTCCAGAAACACTCGCTGTTTACTTGTAGGGAGCTGCTTTTCGGGGGCGGGGGGGGGGATTCAAACATGTAAAGGCCCAGAGCCTGACAAAACATGAAGCCGACTGATTCTGATGAATGTACGACTTGGCCATTGCCCAGCGGTCAACGGGGACAGACTGACAAGGAACGACCCTTGGGAAGATCCTCTGATGAGAGGGAGCCCACGCTTGGTGGGAATGCTTAGAAAAGGAACTTCTAAAGGCACCCTTAAAAGCAACTCCGACAAGGGAAGACTGCAGAAGTGAAGGTGCCCCCGTGCATAGCTGAGAGATGGTCTGCAAACAAAGGGGCATGTCTAGAGGGTGGCAGGCAGGCCAGGCCGGCATACAGGCAGGTGGCAGAGCATCGCAGGGGTGGCGCCAGGAAGCCCAAAGCTAGGAATAGACGGAGGCTAGCGAGGGACGCCAAAAAAGCCTTCCGTAGTGAAAGACAGCGGAAAGAACGGGGGCGGGCATGGCAGAAGGATAACGGACGGCAAAGAAGAGGCAGAAGCACTCGATTCCTCCTCCGGCTCCGTCTTCTCCCAAGAGAGGATCTGTGACCCTCCGTGTGAAGGGGAAGTCCAAGCTGGAGGAGCCGGATGGCAGCCTGGGACGGATAGCCAAATGGTCAAGGAGCGCCCAGTTAGTTCGAATTCGTTCGGATCTTCAGGGCCTGGTGAACTCCGTCCTGGTCGTAAAGGGGCTGGCAAAAGAACTCTCGGAACCACTGCCTCTTATCGCTGAGAAAAACACGGAGGACGGGAGAGGTGCCAGATGACTGGAGGAGGACTAATGAATCAAAGAGCAGTCAATCATGTAATATAGTATAATACATAACAAAAAGCTGTTGAGGGGGTTGTGAAACAGGTAGATAACGATGCTCAGGAAAATATCGAAAGAGATAGGATAAAGAAGAGAAAATGCTCCAAGAGGAAAGCTACGAACGAAGACCCTCCCGAGACACCAAAGGCAGTTGACGAACGGAGGGCCATGGCGGGAGCCCCTCACTTTCAGGCGGATGCCTGGCAGGGGCCCGACAGGACGCTCTTAGCTGCGGAATCTTCTGGCAAGAGGCCCAGGGCACTGAGTCTTCATGTCGGCTGCCGCGCCAGCCTCTTTCTTACCAGATCCCTTGGCTCCCTCTCTGGCTCGGGTTTGCCTCGGGAAGGATGGGCTTGTCCTTGCTCCCGAGGCCCTGCTGTGTGGGCCAGCCCTCCCTGCTGGGGCCTTACTCACCCGGTGCTCCGTCCCAGTACTGGGAAGTGGGGGTGGGGGTGGGGCGGGACTGCCAGAGAGCAGCAGCGCCAGGTCTGCCGTGCTGGCGAAGAACCTGCCGTTCTCGCAGTGATGCCTCTGGGCCGTGCGCCCCTTCTTTGCCCTAGATGTGCGTTCCGTTGCTGCTTCAAGAGAAATCGGACCTTGTGGAGGCCTACGTGGAAGGCCGCCCTGACCTGCAGCAGCAGCTCTTGCAGCTCCTGGACTCCTGGTTCGTGCCCAGTTTCCAGATCACGGATATCGTGAGGTGAGAGGGCCAGTGCAGTCTCCACCTGCCTTTCGTTTCCGGCCATAGCAGCATCCAAAGTCTGGCCAGTGGGGCTCATAGGTTGAATTTCGCACCATCCCTGCCCGGGGCCCCTTCTGCCGGGTTCTACGCCATGGTTTGCTGTTGCCAATCAATTGTTACCAAGATGCGAAGGACTCTGCAGTGCAGGAAGTCCCCATCCACTGACCGCTGAGAGCCTGGAAGAGCCCGAGCGCTTGACCCCGGCTGGCTCCCGGCATTTTGCCAGGGGATGCTTTGAGGTCCAGATGCTGCACCTGCAGGGTCGAGGAGCACGGTTCACACATGCACCCTCTGCATGTAGAAGCAGCACGTGCCCCAGGGAAATTGTGCCTCTGAGTGCCGGGGCTTCCCTCCCACGATGCTTTGCATTCTTCTCCGTGGAGAATCTCGCTGCCCATGCTCTTCGGAGCGAACGCAGAGCTTATAGGCCATTGACCAAACCGGTGTGGGAATTCTTACATTCCTGAGTGGAACAGACCTTTCTGTATTTATTCTTGGTTGTTTTTCAGGCAGTATCAAGGCCTGCCCAATGTGAGGACAGAGAAAATCAACTATAGAATGTTGAATAAAATGGTCTTCAAATTCCTGAACAAATACAACCTAGACCCAGGTAGGCGGATAGAACTGCCTGTCAGGGAGGCCTGAGCAGAAGGACGTGGCAGAAAAGTGTCCCACACGAGCCACAGAGGGAGCAGGGCAGGTGGCTTCAGCTGCTCTGCAGCTCCTGGGCACACGGGCACTCCAGAGGGTGTCCAGCCATGTGGTCAAGGGCAGCCTTGACAGCGCCATCGGTTACACTCCAAGGGAAGCCTGTTGAAAAGCTCGCCCTGCCCAGGGCACGGAGAGGAAGGGCTGGACAGAAACCGCCCGTCCAAATCCCTGCAGAACCCCCCTTGCCATCGCCCGGTCTGCTTGTCCGCTGATGTGTGTTTCTCCCGATCTTCTTTCTGCGGCCCCTGCTGGCTCCTTCCAGCCCTTTGCCCTCACGTCGTCAACCAGCGGCACATGGGCACGCTGAAATACCTGCTCCACAAGCGATTTGTCGAGGTGCGTGCGGGAGAATATGTGTGGGCGGGGGGCACAGAGGCCAGGGGGCTCTCCATGCCCAGAACGCTTCATGAAGTTGTCTGGGGATTTCTCTTGCAGAAAAGCATGACGCAGGAAATCTGGGCTGACCACATCCAGGTACGTGTGGCAGTGATTGTGCTTTTGTTCTTGTCTCCTGCACTGAAAAAAGAAATTTAAACTCGGTGTCCAGGTGCTCCCGATTCTGCATGAAGGCAGGCTGGATTCTGAGACCTGCATGAATTATGCAAATCCCTCAGGGTGGCAAAACCCCACCTATTTTGCATAATTTATTCAGAACTCATGCTTGCCTTTTAGTATTTTGCAGAATGTTTTTCTGGATTTTTCTAGTTATATCCCAGGGGCAAGGAATTTTGTAAGGCTCTGAAAATTTCACTTCTGATTGCTGGAGGTCTTACCTAAGCTGCTCTTTGAGATTTCAGCAGGTGGTGCCCCTATCCATAAGGGCTAGAAACTTGCTTTTTAAAACAAAAGCTGAGATTTCCAGACTACCAAAGTCTGCACTGGTCTCGGTTACCTTTCTTGGTATGATCTCTTGCCAGTCTGATGCTGGGAAGTCAGAAATGCACCAAGAGGAGGATAACTGTTCAAGAGTGCCACTATAGATGAAAAAGGGCTGTTCTTGAGAGCACAAGCCATGCAAAGTGGGAAGGAAACCAGAAACATCCTAACGCCGAAGAATGCCTCTTTCTTTGGAATGTCATAATTATGGATTTAAGGGAATCCAGGCCAGATTGGCAGGGTGTGAATTTCTCAGTGTATTCAGCCTGCCCTCTCAAGCATTCTGTCTCCACAGCAGAAAGAGCGGGGAAATTTAATGCACTGAGAAAGATTAGAGGGAGAGTGAAATTGTCTCTGCCAATCCTTCCATTTGCTAAAGACCCTGCAAAAGTGCTTCTGGCGTTGGCCTGCGGCCAGGTGGGCTCCTTGTCGCAAGATCGAGCGGCTGCAATCCCGGAGCGGCTCTCCATGCTTGCAGGATGGGGCTGTCGAATTCTGGAGTTCTGGAGCTCGCACTGGGGGAAGGGAAGGCCGTACCATGGAGCCCCACGCTAGCAAGCGAAGAACTCCCGGCGAGCAAAGCCTCTTTCCCTGCTGTGTCCTAGATTTCCCCGTGCGGGGCTTTGACTGTGGGCTGGGGGACCCCCGAGGAAGCCCACGGCTCTGTTTCCTCGGTGGTTTGCGGGCCACCGCTCGGCCCCCTGCCCCGCAGCCCCCTCCCTGGGTCGCCACAGGGGTCCCACACGTGTGGGACCCTTGAAGAAAGCAGCACAGCAGCTCCAGGTATGACTCTGCCTCTCAGCGATGGTTAACAAATGGGATCTGGGCAACAGAAGGACGTGTAGCGGAAGGCAGCTCCCAGGCATGGGGGAGCTGGAGTCTGACGCGTTCTCAGGCTTTGCTCCGTCTCGAGGGCCACAGGAAGGCTGCAGTGTGAGCGGGCAGCCTCAGTCCACGCACATGGGGCCCACCTGCCCTTGCCTCGGGCAGCGGGGTTCCTTGGCCTGGCCCGGGCACGGTGCTCTGCCAGCCCCTCTCGGCGGAGGCACGAGAGGCCTCTGCGGTCCATGCGGCTGCCAAGCGGCCACGGGGTGCTGCCTGCCCACCTCCACCTGGGGCATGAGGTCTTGGAGGGCATTCCCAGCAGGCTGCCACCCTTATCTTGCGCTTGTGCACGTCCTGGAAGCGTCTGGCTGGCCACAGACCGACTGGAGGGCTGGGTGGGACCCTCCCCCTGATCCAGCCTGGCTCCGGTCTGTGATGTTCCCAGCGTGGCCGCTCTGGGAGGGCCGTAGATCAGCGGTACCGCATGTGCTGCGCAGGGAGGACCCGTCTCCAGGTGGGCCGAGAATAGTCCTCCCTGTAGAAGGCCCCGGGGAGCAGCCTCTGGGTGGGCCGGCGCTGGCAGACCTAGGCCAGGTGGGCCGTTGGTCGGCTCAGTCCAGCGTGCATTCACACCGGGCCTCCACCCGCCTTGCTGCCCCCCCCCCCCGCATGGTGCTTCCTGCCCCGTGTGTGCCAGTGCAGCCCGCCCGCTGGAATGCCGCTGCCGCGGCTGCCTGGCCTCATTCCTGCGATGCTTCCTGCGGCACGAAGGTGAGGCGCCTGTCAGAGCAGGAAGTCCGAGGCTTGCCGGCCCCCGGTGCGGGACAGGCCCAACGGGGGAGCGGGCTGCAGCCCCTGCGGCGACCGGACGCGTGGCAGAGTCCCTGGCGGGCTGCGCACGGCCGCCGCGGAAGAGGGCATGTGCCACGTGTCTGGGAGGCTGGCACCACGTGTGCCCAGGGGCTCTGCCCGGGGCGCACGCTCCGTCAGGCGAGCAGCCGACGTGCGAGCGCCGAGCCGACCACCGAGCGGCCTCCCTCCCGCACAGACCTGCGGAATCCCTTTTCCAACCCAGAAGTCGGCGTGTTTATGCCTCTGGCTGGTTGCACGTGCTGCGTCAGTACGGCAGACCAAGTAGTCTGGCGCTCTGATTCCTGCGCGCCCTGCCCCAGCCCTCACCAGTGCACCCCTTCCCTTCTCTCAGGGGGCTTTTTTCCCCGGAAAGGCATCCGGGAAGGCGTCCGGGAGGCCCTCGGCCCAAGCGGTGCAGCCTTTTCTTCTGCCTTAGTGTCTGCCGGATAGTGAGGGGCATTTTAAGTCCAGATAAATCCACCAGCAGCAGCAGCACCCAGTCCCCTAGGCGTGGGGATCGCAGCTGCAGCGACTGCCGGGAGCCGGCGTTTGCCCCGGCCGCAGCCTGCCCCCTGTCCCGTCCCGGCTGGGCAACTGAACCGTGCCCTGTCCCCGCTTGCTTTGCAGAGCACTGTCCAGGACAACCGGTGGCTGCAAGAGCAGCTGGTGCAGCTGCTGGTCCGTTACTGCGGCCTGGAGGCTGCTGCCAGATGGGCCCTGCACTACAGCCTCCCTGAGGACAGCCTTCCGTACGGCATAAGCGAAGAGCTGAAGAAGCTCCGAATGCAGGGCCGGAGGTAGAGGGGGAGCTGGGACTGCTATCTCTGGGGATTGGGGCCCTCGTCGTCCGCGCTGGGAGGGCACCCAGAGTCCAGCCTGGGCGGTGCTCGCATCTTGCCCGAGCCTCGCCGGCTGTCCTGCCTTGCCTTGATCCTGCCTCCAGGGACCTGCACCTTCGTTTCTCTCTGGCTCGTTCCTGACCTTGGCCCACTCTTTCACTGTGACCCAGACTTGCTGTTCAGCCTTCCTTGTGGACTTTGGACCCTGTCTTGCCTTGGACTCTGTCGCCCTGGTCCCGGTGCCTCTGTCTTGCCTCCTGCTGCCCACATCCTGGCCCTGGACCCTGACAGAGCTGCTCCTAGTCTGCGGCTTGCTGCCTAGAGATCTCTTGATCTAGTTTCTAATTTCCGCTGCTTTCCATCCATGATCTTCTCAGATGCTTGCCATGGAGTAGGGGCTGGCTGGTTCACACACCCTTGCTAAATACTGCATGAAGTTTGCACAAATATTGACAGTCCTGTGTGCACAGAGAGCCTCTGTGAGCGAAGGTTTGCCTTGCCCTGTGCGGCTGCCCCATAGAATCAGTCACATGCTCCCCTAAATGCAGGATGAGCTAATATTTTGTCAAATAATAAACTCATGGCTCCAGGCAGTGTGGGAAAAAGGCTGTTCAGAAATCTGTGCTCCTTGCGTGTTGAAGAAAGAGAGCCAGTGTGACCTAATGGTTAAGCACGTGGGACTGGGGCTCAGGTGATCTGGGTTCCAGTCCCTGCCCAGCCCTTTGGGCCAGCCACAGTGTCTCAGCCCAGCCTACCTCACAGGGTTGTTGTTGTGAGGGTAAGATGGAGAGGATAATTATGTAAGGGGGAAAGGCAGGCCATCGCAGAGAGGGAGGGAGGGAGGGAGGAGCGCTGGGTAACACCTGCTTTCACACACCGCCCCGTTTGAGCAGGGCACCGGTGTGACGTTCTCCATCCGCCTCCAGTGGTGGCCCCTCCGGTAATGACCTGACCCTGGCGTCCTGCACCCAGGAACTCTTGCTTCCCCCGGGCCTTGCAGCCGGGAAGAGGAGGAGATTTTCCGGAGGCAGAACCCTGGTTCTCTCGCAAAGCCACGGCGGGCAGTCCGCGGCCCTGGCGTGTGAGCGGGTTGCATGTCCATGGGGCTTCTTCTCACGTTGATGAAACAAGCCCGCTTCCTCTTTCTGGGCAGGGAGGATGCTCCAGCCCAGGTGGGGGCTGACCGCCAGGATGAGGCGGACTCTTACCACCGGCTCCCCATCCCCAGGGAAGCCATCCTTTTCTTATCGGCGCAGGCAGAGCTGCACAAGTGCCAGGAGGCGCTGCTACAGGTGGGTGCCGCAGTCGCTCTCCCGGCTCCTCCGAGGGACGGCAGCCTGAGGGAGGGGGACTGGGCCGAGGTGCTCCGAGGAGCAGGGCCAGGACGCGGACCTGCCTCCTGCCGGGCCTCAGCCCTCCCTCGCCGCCGTTCCTGCTGGCGCTGGCGGGCTTGCTTGCGCTGGTAGGTAGTAAGGTGGCAAGTTATGGGAGTGGTGGCCCAGCCCCCCCGGAGGGCACCAGGCTGGGGCAAGTTGGGCTGTGGGGCAAGATGCTCGCTCTCTCACTGGCCCAAGGTCAGGCGACAGCCGTCCCAGGTGAGCGGCTCTCCCTAGCCGGCACATTAACCTGTGCCCGGGCCCACCCGTCAGCCAGGAGGCTGTGCTGGCCCTGGGGGCGGTGCCCCCACGGCCCCGCCCCCCGGCAGACCCCACGCCCACGGCCCACGTCACTTCTCCCGCAGCCCGGCCAAGTCGTTGGCATCGACATGGAGTGGCGACCGTCCTTCAGCACGCTGGGAGGAAGGCCGTGCGTCTCCGTGGTTCAGTTGGCCATCCGGGGCCGCGTGTTCCTCCTGGACATGCTGCAGCTTCTCAAGCAGGGAGGGCCAGAGGTTGAGGGAGCCCTCGCTGGCTTTTTCCAAGCCCTCTTCTCTGATCCAGCCATCACCAAGCTTGGTAAGGACCTCTTCTTATCGCCACGCAGCTTGCCCGCTGAACTGAGCGGGCCGCCAAAGCTCCCTCTCGCAGGAGGGCTCCCACTGCGGCGGCACCGGTGCTGCCCTCCCAGGGGCGCTCGGTTTTTAATTGTCAGCCGTGTGGGGAGGGCGGTGCGCAAGCTGCCGTCCTCGTGCAGGCACCGAGGGAGCGCTGGCCTAACGCACGGCATCGGTGGGAACCTTTGCCTTGGGCTCCCCGTCCGTGGCAACCAGAGCCAGAGATGAGCCGTGGCCAGGGGACTGTTTGTGGGGGGGCTGTCCACAGCGTGGCCATTTTGCACCTCCCTCCCTCCAGGCTACGGAATGCTGGGCGACCTGCGGAGCCTCGTGGCCACCTGTGCAACTTTCAGAGACATGGACAGGAAGCTGCGTGGCTTCGTGGACCTCCTGTTTGTACATAAGCAGGTACAGAGGAAGAGTCATGCGCATGAAGGTGTGCCGGAAAGGACTTCTGGGTGGTGGGAGGTCTGCCCAAAATCCACTGCTTGGGCTGCTGGAGAGGCGTGCCACCCACGTGCGCGAATGACGTTGGCGCATGCAAATTCGTATAACGCGCTGGCAAGCGGTCTCTTGCCCCCTTGGCCCATGACGGTCCGGCAGCCCTTCCCCCGGGCCTCAAGCAGTGTGCAAGAGCAGGCGGCCATCCCTCTGCCTGGATGGGCATCTAACCCTGACCCTAATGCTTGGGAGTTGAGGCTGAAACCCTCCTCCAAGTCTGTTCAGAATGTCTGAAATGGAAGCCAAGGAAGGATGCGCTCCAGTCCCGTCCTGCTGGAATTTGGGAGGCGTGGCTCTGATCGCACATCTGTGCTCGTGCTGCTTTCTCCTTCAGCTCTCCAGAAGCTCCAGCAAGACCAGGAAGGGCTGGCAGCAGGAGGACGCTGCGCAGTCGCAGGCCGGCGCACGGGGGAGTCGGCTGCCAGAGAAGGGGCTGAGCCTGCTGGTGTGGGACGTCCTGGGCAAGCCGCTGGATAAAAGGGAGCAGCTGTCCAACTGGGAGAAGCGGCCCCTTCGAGAGGGGCAGATCCTTTACGCAGGTCTGGCTGCTGCGCACGCTTCTGCTGCCACCCCGCCGTGCGACTGAGGGCTGGGAGGCGCCGTCCGCGAAAGCCCCCTTGGCCGTTCCTGGGTTGTTGCCACGAGAGCCGAACTTGGCACTTTGGGGTGTGGAGGAGTTGAATAACCCAGAGTGAACCCAACAATGGCCGTGGTTTGTTGCTGGATTAACACTGGGCTGGTTGAGTCTTAAACAGCTACACATCGCAGTACCGATCCAGGAACTGGTCAAGGCTGGGTCACCGGCTGGAAGCGGGAGGAGGCGGTGGGCCTGCCTGATCCTGCCTGGCCATGGCAGTTCCTGGGTTGAGCAATTCAGGGTTCTGTCCATGCTGTATTCCTCGCTTGGAGGTACCATTTCAGAGAGAAACTGGCCATGTGTGATTTTACTGTTGGTGGCGATGAAACGTGTATTGCTGGCAAGACCCTCCCCAGCTCCGGATGACCCCACTCAGCAGTCTCACATGGTTGTTAAATAGCGAGCGGACTAGACTGACTCCTGAGAAACTCCGGGAGAATCCAAGGGGCTGAGCAATATTCTCCTGACACCCCCTTCTGGAGTTGGCCCTCTGGAGCAGGAGCACTGCAGTGCACTGCCCACCACGTGCTCCCCGGGCGCAGTCCCCCGGAGGGCACCAGGTCCACGGGTGGCGCTGAGCGCTGGAGGGATGCTTGGCTCTCCCAGTGCGATGGCTTGAGGCCCATGGGGTGCTTTCAATGTGGGCCTGCAGACGCCACCTTGAAGGAGACAGAGGGAAATTTGGTCAGCCCCTGTATTAAAAAATTGTAGTTTTATATGTATGAGCTGAAATGGATTTATGGAAATCCATGTCCACATATAAAAAATGAACATTTTGTGGGTACCTGGACACGCTGTATTGGGCACCCCTTCATGAATTGTGTGTGGGGGACTGCGGGCTGGATGGCCTCGGGGAAGTCGCCATTTTTCAGCCCCCCCCCCCCCATTCCATGCACACGTCCACAGCAGCTGCACGGCCTTCCTCGACAGGGAGACTGTCGTGAGTTTACTGAACGTGTGCCCATGGCTTTGAATGCCGTGGCAGCCCTGGGTGTGCCTGAAAACCGCCAGCCGGGCTAGGATGACTTAACAGCTGCCCCCTTTCCCCACTCCTCTCCGCAGCATCGGACGCCTACTGCTTGCTGGAGGTCTACACGAAGCTGTCGGAGGACCCAGCGGCCTTTGGCCTGACGCCGGACATCCTGGCGGCCCCACCGAAGCGGCCCGGGGCCGAGGGAGCCCCCAGCAAGGAGCGGCTGAGCAGGCCCGCGGCCACCTTGCCCGCCCCGGAGGTCCGTGGGGCGTCCACGGGGGAAAGGGCCTCTGGGCCTTGGGGCAAGTGTTGTGCGGCTGGGGCACGAGGCGCCCACTCCTGCCTTTCCAGGCCTAGCCCCCATTTTGGGGGCGCCCCTCCCCTGCAGCCCGGGGCCCCACGGCTGGCGGGGGGGGGGCGGGAGAGTGGCCCCTGGGCAGACAGGCCCCATGGCCTCGCTGTGAGCCGCCGCAGGCTCAGCCGGCTGTTCTCCCCGCAGGGGCCCGTCCCAGGCCCGGCAGGGGCCCCGAGTGCCTCGCCAGCCATCTCGGCACGGGAGCTGCGCCTGGTGTGCGACAGCATGCTGCAGGGCCTGGGCCGCTACCTGCGCTGCCTCGGCGTGGATGTGCGCATCCTGGACAACGACAGCGAGCACCGCGAGGCCGCTGAGGTCAGTCCGCCGCCCGGCCCGGCCCGGCCCGGCCCGAAGGGACCCCGGGCGCTTGGGCGTCCATCACAGGCTCGAGTTCTAGGGAGCCACGCTTGGCCGGCCCCCAGGAGGGGCGCCCTGCCGGTGAGAGCAGCGGGGCAGGGCCTGCACGGAGCCGGCAGCTTTGCCACGGCAGAAGCCTTCAAGGCGCAGCTGGGCGGCCCTCTGAGGGGAATGGGCTCACCGGACGTCCAGTACTGGGCAGGGCTTGAACCCTTTGCCCTCTCACTCCTCCCAGCTCTAAACTGCACGATTTCCGGGGACTTTTCAGCACAGAGGAGAGGCCTGTGCAAAGCCTGCTTCAAGGCCCGCACTGAGAAGGCTCAGCGTCGCTCAGGCACGCCGGGAGCTCTGGGATGGCGGGACCACTGCCAGGAGGGCCCTGCTTGCCAGCAGAACTATGGCAGAGCCTCTGAAGCAGATGCAAATGTAGAGAAGGGCCATGGGGTGAAACGCGAGCGGGCTGGGTTGCCCAGCACTAGTTCTCGACCTCGGTTCAGCTCGACCAGCTTCCCAGCTTGCAAAGAAAGCCTCTGCTGTCTCCAGAGTACGTTTCGGCGTCTGCGCGCTCCTCCGTCTCCACCCTGCATCCTGGCGGAGGAGAGGTTTTTCTCCCGGGCTTGGGTAGCGACGCAGCCCAACCCCAGGGTGCTCTCGCTGGTCCCGTGCTCCGCATCCTCGGGCTTGGACTGCCTTCGGCCACGCACGCATGTGGCAGCAGCGCTGGTCTGGCGCCATCCTGGTACCTTCTAATCATGATGCAGAAGAGATGCCTCCGAACTGTGGTCTCCACGGAGACCGGGCCGCCTCCTTTGGCGACCGCCGCCATTGGTGTGTCATGCTCTGCCGGTGGCTTTGATCCCTGCGTGGCTAATCAAAGCTCAAAATGCCCCTCCTGCCCCCTTCAGTGCCCCCCCATCTCCTTTCTCTGAGAAACTTAGTCTGATGACAAATGGTGGCCGCTGAGCCTTGACACATCGGGCAGGAAATGTGGGTTGGGGGAAGCCGAACAAGCGCCGGGTGCCTCAGGTGGGACTCCGTGCATGCTCCGGTGCTCGCCGTCACGGCGGCTTCCACCTTCGTAACCCCTCTTTGGACGCTGCTTTCTGAGGGGCTGACTTCAGGACCCCAGTCCTGCCCAGATTAAGTGGAGGTATATTTTCGTTTCTTTTCCAGATTGCACGCCAAGAACAGCGAATTATTTTGACCTCTGGGCTTCCGTATCAGACGGTGAGCATGCCCCATTGCTTGTAGGCATCGTTTCTTGGGCCCTGATCCTCTCATGCGGCAGGACAAGACAGTCACATTTGAAAGTGCCGCAAGAGCCGCAGGAGAGTGTGACTGGAGGAGCATGAATGTTGAATATCCCCCTGTAATGCGATCCCCCTGCCCCGGGCTGGGAGAAGCCCCTGGGGGCCGGGGAATGTCCCCCGGAAGGCCGTGCAGCAAAGAAGCCCTCCCTGCGCTTCCCTCTTTGCCCAGGCGTTGGGTATCATGGGACAGCTTGAATCTCCCGTGAGGAGAACGGGAATCCCTCCTCTCAGCTTGGCGCGGCAGAACCTGGACGTGAGGAGGAGGAGGAGGAAGAGAGGGATATTATGTCGCTTGGTGTTCAACATGTTTGGTTCTCCTGCTTCGGTTCCCCCTGCTCTCCCCCCTCTGCTGCAGTGCCTCTTCCCTGAGGCTGGCGGTACAGGCCAAGCCCCAGGTGGCAGGCCCAGTGCTCCAGCCCGGGTCAGGCCGGGATTTGACCTGTGGCGTGCCTCCGGTTTGGCCTTCCGCAGCTGCAGTCCCAGGTGGGAGAAGGACGGTGTTTCCTGGTGAACTGCTCGGAGAAGGCGAAGGAGCAAGCCCTCCGGGTCCTGAAGCACTTCAACGTCCAGGTGTCCCTGGCCGATGTCTTCAGCCGTTGCCAGGTAAGGCACCAGGCGTCTTCATGCCCGCAAGGGCGAGCTGCGCTCTCTCCACTGCGTCTTTCTGTTACCCGAGGGATGGTCCTGTCACACCTGTGCTGCCTTTTCTTCCTCTGCTAGCTGCCCGGGGCTGGGGGACACATGGCCTGTTGGGTTGTGCTGTTGTGACGAGACATCACCTGTTTAATCGTCGTGGTGGGACTGCGGGGGGATGGAGAGGGCAGCCTGGGGGCGCAGGGGGAGGAGCGTGTGGGACAGGAGGGGCCGACGCCTCATGGGAGGGTTCCAGCAGAGCTGAAGGTTTGTGTCACCAGTGGCTTTTCAGTGCCCCCTTCATAAGTACTCAATGCAGTCCTGAGTTGGCAACTTCTCAGTAGCCGCTATTGCTTAAGGTCTTGTTTGTTGCCTTTGTTTTGTGAATGGAAGGATGTTGACTGCTCCGAGTGTGTGTGAGTGTGGGGCGAGCAGGACTCGGAGAGAAATGGCAACGCAGGGAAGGATCGCCAGCAGCGGCTGGCCAGGCCGGAGGGCTGTGCAGGGAGCCTGTGCTCCCCGCTTCTCAGCCTGTGTGTGCGCGTGTGCCCGTGCCTGAAAGCCACCGTCGTGGCACTGGTGCGGCAACGGAAGCTCGAGCTGGGCGGAGGCGGATTTGGCTCCATTCCGGCCTCGTTCTGGCTTGGCTGCTTGGTTTACTCCGCGGGTGACTCTGCGGTGCCACGGTTTGCTGTAGTCCTCACAAGGGCCTTGCAAGGCCGCCCGGTCTGATTTGCTCCTACCAGCAGTGGGTGTGCTGGGGGAAGGGGAGGCCGAGAGTGAGCATGTGAGAGTGACTCGCCCGAGGCTGCCCAGGAAGCGAGGTGAACGGAATGTCCTCATCTGCAGCCTGCTCTCCTTCTGTCTTTCCGCCCACGTTCTGTGACATTTTGTCATGTGCATCTGATGCTGCTGTCCCACAGAGAGAGAGAGAGAGGTGGGACCTTTGGACTCCCCTCCCTTCCCCTGGCTTAGGGCAACTTGCAAGCCACTTTGAAACAAGCCTGGGAACCTCCGTCGATATTGGTTGATAATTAGTAATATGGATCCCACAAGCTGTCGTCTAGGTCAGAAAGTGTGTCTGAGTCTCAGAGAATCTGGTCAAGGGCTGGGAAAGGCGCGGTAGTGGTTCCTTTCATGTGGTCTGGGGGACCCAGAGGGTGCTGGGAACACCCAGCCTTCCTGGTTCTCACTGGGATACTGAGCAGCTGCCGCTTGCCTTGCCACTGTGGCTCAGGGATGATGGGATTTGCTGTCCCCAAGCCATTCGCCTGAAAGGCTCGGCTCTCTGTGCCTTCCCACCCTCCCAAAAAACACACAAGGCTCACAAGTGAGGCTTTGATCTTCTGTTTGGGGTGAGTTGCAAAAGCTGTGAGAAGCTGAACATTTAGGTAATGCCCGGTTTTAGGTCCCTACTTTCTCTCTCTGTCCCTCTTTAAAAACCAGCCTCCTGACTTTGCCTGTCTTTGAATCTGCTTTGCGTTCCTTGACCTTCCCTCGTCATTGGCCCTTGAGGCTTGCTGGCCGTGAATCGGCCGCCCCAGAGGCTTGGGGGGAGCTGACAGCTGCCCCTCGGCATAATCCGTTGACCTGTCTGGGCCTCTCCCTCTCCCTGCCTTCCCGGTGCAGAGTCGGTTGCGCTCCTGCTCCTCTCTGTGGCCAGGGTGGTGCGGGTCTTCCTGCGGGGTGATCCTGCCCTGGGGGGCGCTGCCCACATGCTGCTGCTCCAGCCGCGGCCGCCAGCCGTGCAGAGGCTTGGGGTCATGTGCTCTGCAGCTCGCTGGCCCTACGAGGTGCCCTCCCCTGCCACTGATGTACGCCTGTGCCTTTCCTGACCCAGCCAAGCCGCACAAGAGGCCTCCTGTGCCCAGCCACGTCCTCCGGGGTGCCATTTGGTGGTGTTGCCCACAGCCCGCTTCCTAGAACCTCCTAAGCCATCCCGCGTCGGGCTGTGTTGCCCGGGCCTAAACATGCCTGAGGTCAGCTGGGTCCAAAGGCCGAGCTTTGCAAGTGCTGGGGAAGCCCCTTGGAAGGCCGCAGCGCCTTTTACCTGGGATGCTGTGCTTTAGCCAGGCGTACTTGAGACTACGTTTTGGAAGGCGCTAATGCAGACACGATCCAGCTGTAGGTGTTGGCCTTATTCCTTTGTCTTTTCTGGTGGCAGGGCCTACCCCTCTCAGAGCCTCCCGTAATACTGCCGCCATTGCCAGACCCTGTGTGGGAAACAGATTTCCCCCCACTTGCGGCGGTGCAGTAGAGTTTATGAGCACTGCCAGATTAAATCAAAGATCCCGCGCACCCAGGAGCAGACCAAATGCCTCCAGGAAGCTCGGTAGACCAGGTGTAAAGCTGATGGGCTTCCCTTTTGGTTTGCTCCCTGTATCTGGTGCTTTGGAAGTAACTCCCGCCTGGACACAGAGGTTCAGCAGAGCTGCTTCACTAATAACCGTGAATTGAGAGCCCTTCTTCATGGATTTACCAAACTTTCCCCAACACTTTTAAAAAAAGAGCCTCAGGGCTGGTTTGAAGGGGGTGACAGTGGCAGCACGCCTCTGAGATGGGCTCGGCACTCTCCGAAACTCATTTGTCCGCTACATTGGAGGGTCTCCTGGCAGGAAAATTTTTCCTGTTATTTCAAAGCCCGAAGAATTCCCAGCACTTCCTCTGCGTTTTCCTCTGGGTTAAAAGCCAGGAGCCTCCTACAGGAAGGGGAAAAAAGAAAAAAAAGAAAACCTGACTAGCCTTAGGCGGGATCTTGCTGGTGGAAGCAGCCTCCTTGCGCCGTGCTGCCTGGTTCCCACAGACTGTGCGTTTTCTTGCCAAGGTCTCAGTGTCTTCAGAAATGCGGCCGAGCATGAAGGTTGTCACAAGCAAAGAAAGACAGGCTGCGATTCTCCCAGGTGCCCACAAGCTGTGGCCCCGCAGCCCCTCACCTGGAGCAGGCCAGATGTGTTGGACTCACAGCCCCCATTATTTCCATCCCGTGGGGCTGCTGGCTGGTCAAACAAGGTTGGGGGGGGGATGCGCAAGGGGTCTGACCCCGAAGAGGCAGCCGCCATCGCTGCCCCAGGGTCTCGGTGACCAGAACAAAACAGCAGGTACCAGGGTGGCCCCATTTCCATGGCACAGTAAAGCGGGATCCCGCGGCCTGTGCGGAAAGGCGCGTGTGTGGTGGGGGCCCTTGATTCGTCACCCGCGCGGCAAAATGCCGTTCTCTCTGACTGGCACCACTGCTGCTCATGCTGGGCAGAGGCCCGGTTTTTATTTTATTTATTTATTTATTAAAACATTTCTATGCCGCCCCTTGCCGTAGCCTCGGGGCGGCTCACAACATAATAAAATAAAATAAAAGGGGTTGCTTTGTGGGCCCCCCATAGGCTGCCTGCTTACCCATGTGTAAGTATGTGCATTCTCATATTGTGGATATACGGTGTGCACCTACAGGTGCATATGTAGAAATCCGGACCCTTAACTCCAACCCTGGCCCTGTGCCCAGGTCTTGAAAACGGTGAGAGGAAGGCTTGGCAACAGCTCGTCAGACAGAAGACTGTGAAGGAACAAAGAGGGCTAGGTACTTAAACAGTTCTTCAAAAGTGCTGCATTCCACATCTGGCACACCAAATCAGTGCCGCACAAGGAGGGTTGGGGGCTGCCGGCCTGGCCTTGGCTGCTGCCCCTCCGTCTCCCCCCGCCCCCCCCCACACGCCTTCTCCCAGCACAGCTTCCTGCTCCCGGTCTGACATCTTCTCGTGTTTCGCAAGGGAACCCAGTTGTACATGAAGCGCTCCAGACTCTCCAAAGAGTGTCGGCAGTACTGCCAATGTGCACAGTGTCCCCCTGGGCCATTCCCGCCCCCAGAGGGCTGGTGCCCTGCAGCAGGCGAGGGGGCGGTGAGGGTGGGGAGCAGGCGGGTGAACGCCCCTGTGCACGGCACCCCCGAGCCGAGAAGCGACTGGGGAGGCTGGCGGAGGGAGCGCATGGGCCGAGGCAGAGTTGATAGAAAGGCAGCGGGGGAGATGCCGCTCCCGGGGCCTGGAATCCCTCGCTTTGCGGGCCGCCCTTCCTCGCTGCACCTGCGCTCGCTTCAGTGCAAGCGGTGGCCGGCCTCCCAGGGGAGGCATCCCCGTCTGGGGAGGGGGGAGGACCTTGTCTGTGGCCGAGGGCCTTGCAGGTCCCGGTGGCACAGCTCTCGGGGCATTCGTTCCCGTTCCCTGCCCTGGAAGGCCGCGCCCCCCCCCCCCCGCACTTTGGGAGGTTGGGCGGGATGCAGTTCCCAGGCAAACAAGGTGCCCCCGTCCTTCCCTGCTCTAGGAGAGCAGAGCCGCCCCTCCCTCTGCTCCGGTCCCTGCCAAAACCCCCGCGAGGCTTGGGTTACGGCGAGCGGACAAAATCGGTTATGCAGAGTTCACAGCATCCCGGCTCAGATTGCACGGTATGACCAGGGAAGTGTGAAAGTGAAACCTGTTCCTCTCAGCACTCCACAGGCTGGAACTGGATGTGACCCCGAGCGGGGTTTGCGCCTGAAAGCAGCCGCCCTGGGTCCCAGTCTGCCGCTCGAAGGGGCAGCGGGACAGCCCTGCACAGCAGCGTGCCCCCCCCCCCCCGGGCAGGCAGAGTCCCCCCTCCGCCCCGGACTGGCTCCTCCTGCCGCTCCCCAGGGGCCGTGCAGCAGAGTGCGCGCTGGCCTCGGGGGACTGGCTTGCCTCCGCCATGCCTGGGTCAGGGGAGGGCTTCCCCACGGCCTGTCCCAGCCTCACCAGTCCTTAGTCGGCGTGTTTGATTTTGCATTCGACTCGATGCCAAGAAATTGCTCCTCTTTTCCTGGCTTTTTCCCACTCCCGAAACGAAGCCACACGCACCCACCCCGTCCCGCTCCTGGGATGCAGATGGGAAGCCGTCTTGTGCTGAGACATTCCGGCCCTCCATCTTGCTTGCCCGGATGGGCAGCAGCTCCCCAAAGCCACGTTTTC